TCCAGCCTGGGTGACAAAAGCAAAATTCCATCTAAAAAATACATAAATAAATAAATGAAAGAAAGAAAAGGATTATTTACCAGGTGAGGGGAAAATCAAATCACTTCTGATCATTCAATATTTTTTCAATACCTACTATAGGAATGAAGGTTGAAAAGAGCAAAAGCTGCAGTGTGTGAAAAGTAAATGACCAAATAACATTAAAGGTCCTAGACTCTGCAGTGATGCATTTCCATTTGCTTCAGAAGCGTTTGTAACTTAGGAGGAGGGACAGATAAGTGAATGATGAAATAAATGGTGGCAAAACCCAATAGTAAGTGGTAAAAGATGAAGCTGAAGGGCAGGGCATGAAATAATTACTTGGGGGAGAGGGTTGTTAGACTAGAAAAGCTAGATCAGTCACTACTAAAGTCAGGACCTAGGCAATGGGAAAACAAACACCAGCTCTTCACACTAATGATTCCAAAGGAATCTACCTCATTAACATTTTCACTTGAAAACAGTTTGCCTTAATTTATGCACAATGTCGCTGCCATGCTTCTTATACAGGAGGAAAGAGGAATTGTTATGGGATTAAATATTGCCGTCAGGGCGTGGTGCATAGCCACATTTTATCTTATTAGCTCTCACGTCATTTGAATTCTTTGCAAGTATGGGTTTCCTTAGATTGGAATCTGCTTAAAATCAGGGGCTGCCATATCTTCCTCATCTTATTCTAGCCTTAAGTTCTGAGTATGTGTTGGGATTCAATCAGGCTGGTGGGAAAAACATTAAAGATAGTAACAGACACAATTCTCGGAAGGCGGAGAAGTTTGCATAGCTTCCATAATAGATATGGTTGAAGGCAACCTGATCTTTCGTTTGAAACAAATTAAAGTAGTAATAAAGGAAGGCAGAGTAGTTTACCTAGTTTGTTTACTCATATGATCCTAAGACTAATCTTAGATGTACCTCTGGTGCTTAAGTGCTTTTCACTTGGGAAGTCCTTCTAATGGTGTTGACTCAAGCCTTTGTTAATTAGTCTTACTGAATAAATACAAGTCTCACTAGCTGACTGAGGCCTAGTTGCAACTGTTTACCCAATTCTCCAGGGAGTCTGTAAGCAGTGGGACACCCTCAGCTGGACTGGCAAAACAGAGTATCTGTGTGTCAGTGTGTTTTATTCATCTGTCGTCGCAGGGTCAGGGTCTGTGGGCAGACCCCTACAGCTGGTGCCCCCTCTGAGGCACACTGCCGGAAATGTTTGTCACTGTTTTGTTAATTCTAAGTTCCCTCTTAACGAAGAACCTGGGCCCTCTCATTTAGAAACTTGCCTCAACAGTATATTGAACAAAATAAAACTTTGTTTTGGTACTTTTCTATCTACAGTAACAGTCAGACAAGTCTCTTCACCTGGGTACATTTACAAAACAGTAAATTGACAGGAAAAAAATTAACTTTCATGGTTTTGGATTCTACAATGTGAAATGCTCACTAGTTTTTCCTTTATCAAAAAAGCTTATGCCTGTAATCTCAGCAGTTTAGGAGGCTAAGGCTGAAGGATCACTTGAGGTTTGAAGTCGAGACCAGCCTAGACAACACACTTCATCTCCACACACACACACACACACAATAGGCATGGTGGCATGCACCTGTAGTCCTAGCTACTCAGGTGGCTGGGACAGGAAGACCACTGAGCCCAGGAATTTTGAGGCTGCAGTGAGAGCCATGATTGTGCCCCTACACTCCAGTTTTACAGGGAATCCTTGTCTCTAAACAAAAAGTTTGTTTAAAAAATGTAATTACAATGGGCAAAATAGACTACGTGACCTCTAAGGCCCCTTCCACATTACTACTTCTACTGAGAATCTTCCTATTTCCCATTTCCTCTCAGTTAGCTCATCACATTTGATAATTCATACAGTATTTTGTATTTATGTCAATTGATGTTCCTGAACTCCTTGTGTAATTTTTTTTGCCACCATGAGATGACCAGCTACCAGAAATATATATATATTTTGAGATGGAGTTTCGCTCTTGCTGCTCATGCTGGAGTGCAGTGGCACAATCTTGGCTCTCCGCAACCTCCACCTCCTGGGTTGAAGATGCTGTCTCAAAAAAGAGTAGACAGACTCAGGAGTGTCACATTTAATTCAAACATGGCTTGAAAATAATTTCTATTTTTGTTTCTAGAAATTATTTTTCCTGGGTATTTTAGACCGCCTTTCTTTAATTTGGCCTTCATGACTCAAGTAATGAAATGCAAAGATTCTGTCAATTAAAAATGTAAGCATTCAAATGCAAATAAATTAACATAAATATTTCAGTATTTTACTATAATCACATTATGAAAAATCTATCAGTTTCTCAAAAAGTGTGAGTTCACTTCAGTCTATAGTATGATTGTTACATTAGTAGCTCCTGGGTTTGGTATTATCTCCCTGTTTTCTTCTTGACAGCTAGACTGTTTCTTTGCCTGCTTGGGATTCCTTCTCATACCCTTTCATCTCCAGTGACAGTCACAAATGAATTCACCATCTTTTGTTGAGCAAAACTATTTCTCAATTTCATACTTAACAGAAGACTGAAATACAACCCAGAGAAGTTTGTAATCAATTTGACATAAAACCTCTCCGCAGTCTTTTGGGTATAAATTGGGGCCATCATAAAACTTGTTAAAAAGAGTTGGGAAAATAAGCCTCATCTAAACATTGTATACCTGCTTACATTTATTTGCATTAAATTGATTCCATAAAAAAGGAGAAAAAAATGATAGTGTCTAGTTCAAATTGGCTCTCAAGCTAAATGTCTATCAGTTATTCATGCCAGATTAAAACCTGAAACAGCACTCTTCACAAAATAATCATTAGCTTACACTTATATAGTTCACAGGGAAGTGCTATAAGAAGATTCAGAATAAGTAACAACATAAAGTTATCTACAGAAAAAATTTTCAGGGCTGGCTAGAAAAAAAGCCTAGAATATTAGGATTTTCTCAGGCATAATTATGGAAGATTATGTTCATGAATATAATTATATATATTTGCCTCAAAAAAATGTTTTCCTCTTTAAAATCTACTTAAAGGAAAATTCAGCTGCATTTATGTAGTCTTGTTAGGATAAAATAATACTGAATAGACACCTTAAAGTGCTAATCAAAATGCGGTCCTTGGATCAGCAGGCAATGACATTAGCTGGGAGCTGTCCAGAAATGCAAAGCCTGTGGCGCCACCCCACCTCTGCTACTTCAGTGTCTCTATTTCTACAAGCACTCCTCAGATGATTTGGGGTCACATTAAAGTTTAAGAAAAACAACTTCAAACTTACCTTTCTTCCTTGTAAACAGATGTACATACTTTATTTTGTTTTTAGGGACAAAGAAAAGTAGTATTCTAACTGCCAGATCAAGACTGGTTCTTAACATGTTCATGCTTTGGCCAGGCAAGGTAGCTCATGCCTGTAATCCCAGCACTTTGGGAGGCTGAGGCGGGTGGATCACCTGAGGTCAGGAGATTGAGACCAGCCTGGCCGACATGGTGAAATCCTGTCTCTACTAAAAATACAAAAAATTAGCCGGGCGTGGTGTTGGGCACCTGTAATCCCAGCTACTCAGAAAACTGAAGCAGAGAATCTCCAGAACCTGGGAGGCGGAGGCTGCAGTGGGCCGAGCTCGTGCCATTGCACTCTATCCTGGGCGACAAAAGCACAACTCCCGTATCACCAAAAAAACAAAAACAAAAAACAAAAACAAAACAAAACAAAAAACCACCCTCCCTCCAACCAAAAAGAAAAAAACACCAAAAAAAGATTTTCATGTTCTTTATATAACAATTTGAAAGGGCAAAACAAATTCATACTGCATAAGGTTTTCAAACTAAAATTAATTCATGGGTTTATGGTAAAATTAACCCACAAAGTTCAAGCAACTTAATAGAAATTTCTGATGTGTATTTCCAGACACTAGAATATGCCTGTTTAATGGCTAATTCTTTATATATACAATTCTAAAAAACAAGCAACTCTGACAATCTAAAGGCTTTTACTGAAGCTTGGTTACAAAACATGATTTAAACTGGCATTAAGCGATTAACAGTTTCTACCACATTTATTATAACAATTTTCACTCTGCTGCCGAAACTTTAATATATGAACTTGCACAAATTCATATATTTAGTTGAGGTCCTGCCGCAAACCTCACTGGAGATGTTATGCAGTACACAGTACATCTCCCCAAAGGTTTCAGATTAAGAGATCTCCCTTGTTTTTAGAGTGGCCCTTTAAGATAAGTATAGTTGACAAAGCAGGAGAAGAAACCAAGCAAAGAAAATCAAATCTACCTGAATAAACCTTCATGTTAATAGTGGCTAAATAAAAACAACATAATATGATGCCTTAGAAACAGCAACTGTGCAGTACGTTAAGAAAAGACAGACATAGCCAGGTGCGGTGGCTCAAGCCTGTAATCCCAGCACTTTGGGAGGCCGAGACGGGCGGCTCACGAGGTCAGGAGATCGAGACCATCCTGGCTAACACAGTGAAACCCCGTCTCTACTAAAAAAATACAAAAAACTAGCCGGGCGAGGTGGCGGGCGCCTGTAGTCCCAGCTACTTGGGAGGCTGAGGCAGGAGAATGGCGTAAACCCGGGAGGCGGAGCTTGCAGTGAGCTGAGATCCAGCCACTGCACTCCAGCCTGGGCGACAGAGCGAGACTCCGTCTCAACAAAAAAAAAAAGAAAAAGAAAAGAGAGACACAATAAACTGCTCGAACAAGGTCTTAGGCTGGGGGTGTGTCTGAGAAAAGACTGAAAAATAAACGAAAATGGCAAGGGGAATCTTTTCTGAAATTTTCCGTCGAGAAACCAGAATTTAAAATAAAAAAGAGGCATTTCCATAGATGTATAGTAGATTCATCCAAAATAATGTAAATGGCTTCCTTGACCTTTAGATACCAATAGTCATAAAAATCAAGTCCATAAAAAATTCAGCCCATATTTTTAAGTTTTCTAGTATGCACCACACAATTACAACATGATGCCATTTATTTACATGATTCTGAAAGAACATGAGTCCCCAGGATCAAATATATACATTTTTAATATTTGAAATATTTACATAATGGAACCACATCAGGGTTCGAGGGTAAGAACAGTGTTTTCAAATGTCCTCTCGAGGTGTGTTTAAAAAAAAAAAAAAAAAAATTCCAGTAATCCAAAGCTCACATTATGTTTTTCTAACAGGCCAATCTTTACCTTTCTTTTAAATAAGTATTCAGACATGGGAACAGCTGCATCTGATTTGTGTGAAAAGCTGTTTAAAACTTGTTACATTTTCAGGTAATTTTACTCCCTGGTGAAATTCTGATCTACAACAAAGAAAGCCCCAGGAATTTCTCTAAGCACATCATCAGTATAGTTTTAAACACTAATGAGCCAAGGTAAAACAAGATATAAACCTTCTACAAGACAAAAATGAAAACAAAGTTAGTGGTTGGTAACTGCCTTGAATGATTTACCTTTATCCTTAAATAAGATGTAAACTTACAAATTGCCGAGCAGAATACCTATCATGTTTGTAAAACTCTCATTGTCTGTCAATTTGCCTAATTTTACTTCATTTTTTTGTTTTGTTTTAAAGGGGGTTTTCACTTATACTTTTGGTATGATGAATTTTTTGTTAAACAAAGGGATATAATAGATTTCAACTAAGGACCAATTAGTGCAAAACTGCATTAAATACAACTCTCCAGTATTTTAGGATATGCCTCATTTCTGAGCAATAAAATTAAAGGGAAAAATCACTATGATCCACATTCCTTTAAAAGAGAAGCTGAAGCAGCCAGCTTATTAAAAAGAAAACCCCATCCAGTTAGCAGACTATTGCTCACGATACGAGAATACCATGCTCTGGGAAACTAATAACCTAATTATAACAGACATTTTAGGTTGGAACAGTATCATTTTTCCTTTACAATTCTATTCTTTAGTTAGGAAATGTTTTAAGGACCCCACCAAAGCAAATTAGGGAAAAGAAAGACTTTTACACATACATTCACAAACACATTCATACAGAAATACAGTAGGAATGGATTGTCTGCTAATTTTTGCATTCCAATTTTAAACTCCATGCCTTCACAAGGGCTTGCCATTTCTGATCAAAAGAGAGTGGGAGTGGTTAATAGTTTATGACTGGTGTTTTCAATTAAAATTGTTCATGTTGGTTCCTATACAGTACATTTCAATATTAAGTGCAATTCTGAAAAATAATTGGGGAGTCGTTTTAATATTTACAAGAAACAAATCAGCAGAACAAGATTATTATTAGATAGGCTGTGTACAGTAGCTGAGGCTTATAAAACATACCAGTAATTTGTACCTGGAGAGTATAAAGAGAACCAAGGATTCAGATGACTTTACAACCAAGGGAGTACACAGGGCAACAACAAATTAGAGGACCAAAAAATTCACATTTTCTACAATAAAAAAAAATTACAAATCTCACAATGTCTTCAAAGACAAAGAAAAATTCAAAGTCCTTAAAAGGGTGGCGAAGAAGAAACCTGAAATGGAACTCTTAATATAAAAAGTTTTACTTCACAAGACCAATTTTCTTGGCTTCTGTTTCATATATCAATAATCTCCACATTTTGACTATAAAAACTTCTGCTTCTTCATCAAGTACCTAAAGAGGAAACAAAACAGCAACACACGTAAGAGAAGCAATCATCAACATCTGCCAACAACAGTGACCAGTATAAAGTTTTTCATCCACTGACAATAAGCACTTATTACTTAAATGCTAGTTACGATTGGTTTAGTGGTGGGGCACGGTGGCTCACACCTATAATCCCAGCACTTTCGGACACTGAGGCGGGCAGATAACAAGGTCAGGAGTTTGAGACCATCCTGGCTAACATGGTGAAACCTCATCTCTACTAAAAATACAAAAACTTAGCCAGGCGTGGCAGCCTGTGCCTGTATTCCCAGCTGCTGGGGAGGCTGAGTCAGGAGAATGGCGTGAACCCAGGAGGTGGAGCTTGCAGTGAGCCAAGATCACGCCACTGCACTCCAGCCTAGGTGACAGAGCAAGACTCCATCTCAAAAAAAAAAAAAAGTTTTAAGGTTGTTTTGAGGGGATAAATGAGATTCTGTATTGTTATTACATAGTTGTGTATTTCGTTCTTCTTAAATTACTACGTTCTTTATGACACATACTTGTTTTCCTTAGAAAGCAGTTTTACTTTCAGTAAAATGACTTAATGAAAATTTGTCCAGTATGAGAAATGTATTATTAATAAATAGTAAATGGGCCGGGCACAGTGGCTGACACCTGTAATCCCAGTACTTTGGGAGGCTAAGGCAGGCGGATCACCTGAGGTCAAGAGTTTAAGACCAGCCTGGCCAACATGGCAAAACCCCATCTCTCCTAAAAATACAAAAATTAGCTGGGTATGGTGGCAGGAACCTGTAATCCCAGCTACTTGGGAGGCTGAGGTAGGAGAATCGTTTGAACCTAGAAGGCGGAGGTTGCAGTGAGCCAAGATCATGTCATTGCACTTCAGCCTGGGCAACAAGAGCGAAACTCCTCGTCTCTAAATAAATAAATAAATAGTAAATGTAAATTACCAACAACAAAAAAAAATCATTCAAAATTCCATGGCTTACTAAACACAAACAGTACAATATTTTTGTGATCCCCCTTTTATTCTTTTATTTTACCTTTACAGATACTGCATTTATACATGTCTGACAAAACTACTTCCCAAGGAAACCACATGCTTTTCATAAAGAACATAGTAATTTTAAAATAACTAAACAAATACACAATTACATAATAACAATACAGAATTTCATTTATCCCCCAAAACACAACCTCACAAACTTTTTTTTTTTCCCCTGGAGACAGGATCTCTCTTGTCACCCAGCCTGGAGTACAGTGGCGTGATCATGGTGCACTGCAGCCTTGACCTCCCAGCCTCAAGTGATCCTCCCACCTCAGTCTCACCAGTAGCTGGGACTAGAGGTGTGCACCACTACTCCTGGCTACATTTTTGTGCTTTTTAAATAGAGACAGGGTCTCCCTGTGTTGCCTAGGCTGGTCTCAAACTCCTGGGCTCAAGCAATCTGCCCACCGTGGTCTTCCAAAGTGCTGGGATTACAGGTTTGAGCTGCTGTGCACAGCCCAACCGTGCCATCTTAACTAGCATTTATTGTGTACTTGACACTAAAGTGAACATTAAATGAGGATATAAGTAGTACAGTGTTCAGAATACAGTAAACAGAATAAGCAAACACAATCATCATCACGGGGCACACATGACTACTAAGTAACAAGTCTTCCAGTGGTGGACGAGGAAATTGTCTTCCTCTCTACTTGTGAGTTAGGGTCCTTGTGTCCCCATCACTATTCCTGCCATCATCCCATACACACATCTGGCCCTCTACATTATGGCTGCTGTGAGGTGAAATAGACTACTCTGCTCCCTTCTAAAGGGGGCAGCTATGACTGTGCTCTGGAAGTGTGGCCTAGAGTTGCCAGGTCTTCATAGAGGAAGCTTGTGGTAGGAATTTAGAGTACTCAATCTCTAGTCAGACTACATAGGTTCAAACTGCAGTGCTGCCGCTTACTCAGCGATAGGTCCTTGGTTGGGTTACTTAACCTGAGCCTCAGTTTCCTCATCTCTAAAGCGGAGGGGATGTAGCTACATACCATAGCAGTAGGTACTAAGTGGGAATTAAAAGAGATGGTATGTAGTTAAGTGCTCTGAAAAGTGTGTGGTATATAACAAGTACTTAATAAATACCTAGGAGAAGGCTGGGCACAGTGCCTCACGCCTCTAATCCCAGCACTCTGGGAGGCCTAGGTGGGCAGATCACCTGAGGTCAGGAGTTTGAGACCAGCCGGGCCAACATGGTGAAACCCATCTCTACAAAAATTACAAAATTTAGCCAGGCGTGACTAAATTTTAGTCTCTACAAAAATACAAAAATTAGCCAGGCGTGGAGGTGGGCACCTGTAATCCCAACTACTTGGGAGGCTGAGGCAGGAGAACTGCTTGAACCCAAGAAGTGGAGGTTACAGTGAGCCAAAATCATGCCACTGCCACTCCATACAGCCTGAAAAACAGAGCAAGACTCTGTCTCAAACAAACAAAAGAGATTAAAAAAAAAAAAAAAATTTGTCGCTTTCTCAATGATGGCAATTAATTAAAGAACTTTTGATCAGATTTCTATGAGCCAGATGTGACCTTCGTTTAAGAACTCTGTTGTAACACTAATCCACATCTGAGTCACACTTCAGGGAGATGTAGGCACAAAATGCAACCAAACTTCATTTAATTTACATAAAACGAAAAAGATACAATAGAAAGAAGTCAGACTTTTGTTAAGAGTAAAACAGTACTCAGGCTAAACATTCAGTCTCTTCATTTATTCAAGAAATATTTACAAGGCCCCTGAGCTTTTTAGCAGAGCTGTTTGACAACACTAGCTCAACTGGTTTCCTCTCATTCTAATCAACAATGAGCCACAAAATCATAAACAGTGGTCTAAATACACTCCAAATATCAATGTGTTACAACAGATCAAAAAATCTAAAATTAACATTGACATGTAATCTTTACTGTGATAGGAACTCTGCTGAGGCCAAACACTGGAACACTGTTTCATTTAAAAAATGTCTTCACTCAGGCCTAACTAGGACACCCTCTATTCCAAGAAAAACAGGGCTGGAAGCTTCAGGAAAGTTCAGAATCCAGCCCTAAGGACTGAAATCTATTCACATTTCTCCTTTCCTCTGAGGCAATGAAGTTTTCACAAATGTTTTATCAGGTGTTCTAAACGACAGCTGCATCAAGCTAGCTAGGCAGCAGAAAAGGAATGGCTTTAGACACCATAAAATGCCTGCCCACAAAGCAGCTTGAACTCACAATTCTTCTTTTTGACTATAAACCCCACTATGTCCCTCTGTGACATCTTTGGTGGCAGTTCCAAGTGCAAGTACTGCCAGTCATCTACCATTTCATATCATGTTTGATGATCCTTACTTACTCATCTTCCCATTGCTGCCTTCTCGCTCTGCCCTTTGGACTCCTGTTCTATTTTATACTACACACCAACAACTAAATTAGGGTTTTCCTCTTAACAGAAACCCTCCTCTATCCCCTAAAGCCCTGCCACTTCTCAGGCAGTCTCTCACTCTCAATGTCAGTCTCCACAGGAATGACTGGTGGGTCTTCGCTGTTTCTTTCTTGGCAAAAAAAATAACAACTCCATGGACGTTCATGAGCTCTCACCACCTTATCCATTGCAAGAGCAGCTATCTGGCAAGTATCTTGTCTTTCCCCCCACTTAAATGAGTGCTCTGGCAACTATTTCCAGTATTTCTCTCCAATCTGACTCCCAATACCCAGGAATTTCCCACAGTCATACTGTGCACCTTGCCATCGTCTGGACTGACCTATCACACAGACTTGAACTTTCTACACTCTGACCATAACCTCTTCTTTCAGTTGTTTTATTACAATTCACCTTCCACAACTTCACTGGAGCCACTAGTCCTTAATTCATTCAAACCACCAGCTCCATTCAGGTATTATTTTCTTCTCTTCCTAACTTGGAGATCGTAGTTCATTCAATCTCTTGCTTAACCTTTACCATCAATTATCTTCTCCTTTCCTTGTCTCACAAAATCAGTGTTAACTACATGCTACCACTGACTGTAATCCCAAATTAAATGCAATGAGGATTTGACGTTCACTGTCAGTACAACAAGTGTTTGGATACCTGTCCAAAAACCAGCATATATATACAACCTTGTGGCCAAAAAGAAGGAAATAGTGTCCTTTACAGGGTCATGGATGGAACTGGAGGCCACTATCCTTAGCAAACTAACACAGGAACAGAAAACCAAATACAGCATGTTCTCACTTATAAGTGGGAGCTAAATGATGAGAAAACATGAACCAAGAGAGGGGAACAACACACAAGGTGGCCTATCGTAGGGTGGAGGGTGGCAGGAGGGAGAGGATCAGGAAAAATAACTAATGACTACTAGGCTTAATACCGGGGTGATGAAATAATCTGTTCAACAAACCCCCAGGCACAAGTTTACCTATATAACAAAACTGCACATGTATCCAACTTAAAAAACACACACACATACACACACACAACTACATGTCTCAGTTTCTGTGGTAATCCCTGTGATGCTTAACCTAACTGCTATCAATGCCATCAGATGTTCTATCTCCTCTACCTCCATTATCATTTCTACATATCTAATTCAAACAAGTATATCAAGGTTTCAGTATCTGTGTATCTGTCTCTCCGCTACTACAGGTCATTTGTTCTACATTATGCTTCTAGCACATTGTGCTGGGCATAGGGAAAACATGAATGGAACTGGTGGAAAAGAATAAAGCCCTATTTATTTATTTAGAGATGGGGTCTCACTGTCACCAGGCTGGAGTGCAGTGGTGCAATCTCGGCTCACTGCAACCTCCACCTCACAGGTACAAGTGATTCTCCTGCCTCAGACTCCCCGAGTAGCTGGGAATACAGGCGCACGCCACCATGCACAGCTAATTTTTGTATTTTTCATAGAGACAGGGTTTCACCATGTTGGTCAGGATGGTCTCGATCTCTTGACCTTGTGATTCACCCGCCTCAGTATCCCAAAGTACTGGGATCACAGGCATGAGCCACCACACTCAGCCCCTCAAGTTTTAATTCACGCCTAAAAAAGATTCTGGAACAAAGACAGGCAGGAAGTGAATCAAATTCAAAAGTGAGTTTATATAGATGTTAATTAAAATATTAATAACAGTGCATTTCTGGCCAGGTGTAGTGGCTCATGTCTGTAATCTCAACACTCTGTGAGGCTGAGGCAGGAGGATCACTTGAGCCTAGGAATTCAAGACTACCCTGGGCAACATAGTGAGACCACCAAAAAAAAAATTTTTTTTTTTTAATTAAAAGAAATAAAAATAGTGAATTTCTAACTTACCATAGCAACATCATCTAAAATGCTCTGGGGTGAACTATGAGCCATAACCTAAAAGAGAAAAATAATTGTCACATTAAAAATAAATAAAAATTAACAATATAGTCAAGAAATTTTAAGGTATGAATCCTCAAATTCAGACAGGAATTTCTTGTGACTAAGGAACCATTCTATAAATGTTTTAATTTTCAGAATATCATTCTTCAATGAAAGAGGCACCAAAACCTGGAATCTTAATCTCTATAGGTCTGTAGTCTAATTTTAAGTCAAATCTGACACAAGTTTTTTTTTTTTTTTTTTGAGACGGAATCCTGCTCTGTCACCCAGGCGCAGTGATGCTATCTCAGCTCACTGCAAGCTCCGCCTTCTGGGTTCACGCCATTCTCCTGCCTCAGCCTCCCAAGTAGCTGGGACTACAAGTGCCTGCCACCATGCCCGGCTAATTTTTTGTATTTTTAGTAGAGATGGGGTTTCACCTTGTTAGCCAAGATGTTAGCCAGGATGGTCTCAATCTCCTGACCTCGTGATCCGCCCGCCTCAGCCTCCTGAAGTACTAGGATTACAGGCATGAGCCACCGCGCCCGGCCTTGACACAAGTTTTAATGCCACAATAATTACAAGTTAGAGAAGGCAGAGTAAATTTACTGTTCATATCAAAAGAGCACTGCTAGCAGAAAAATACCTTAGCTATACCTTTATAGAAATACGGTGTTTCTACTATGTTAACTGTTTTATTAAAGTTAAGACTATGTTTTCAGGAGACAATGGGAAGATATACCTTAGTGGTTAAGAGCATGGGTTTCAGAGGCTAGACTCAGTATACAACATAGCCAAGACACAACTTCTCCTTAAACCTCAATTTCTTCATGTATAAAATGGGTATAACATTCATGACAGACACATTCTAACAGTGTTATGTTAAAAGAAGTTTTTTTTTTTTGAGACAGAGTTTTACTCTTATCGCACAGGCTGGAGTGCAAAGGCACGATCACAGCTCACTTCAACCTCCGCCTCCCGGGTTCAAGTGATTCTCCTGCCTCAGCCTCCAGAGTAGCTGGGATTACAGGGGCCCACCATCATGCCCACCCTATTTTTGACTTTTTAGTAAAGATGGGGTTTTACCATGTCGGCCGGGCTGGTCTCAAACTCGTGACCACAAGTGTTCTGCCCCGTTGGCCTCCCAAAGTGCAGGAATTACAAGGCTTGGGCCACCACTTTGCTAACATTTTATAGAACTTTATCGTCGGCTAGCGTGATCGCTCACGCCTTGTAATCCCTGCACTTTGGGAGGCCAACGCGGGCAGATCACTTGAGGTCAGGAGTTCGAGACCAGCCTGGCCAACGTGGTGAAACCCCGTCTCTACTAAAAATACAAAAAATTAGCCTGGTGTAAACCAAACACTGCATGTTCTCACTCACAAGTGGGAGCTGAACAATGAGAACACATGGACACAGGGAGGGGAACATCACACAGCTGGGCCTGTCGCGGAGTTGGGGGCTAAGGGAGGGAGAGCATTAGGAGAAATAACTAATGTAAATGATGGGTTGATGGGTGTAGCAAACCACCATGTTACACCTATGTAACAAACCTGCACATTCTGCATATGTACCCCAGAATTTAAAGTATAATTAAAAAAAAAAAAAAAGAAAGAAAAAAAAATTAGCAGGGTGTGGTGGCATGTGCCTATAGTTCCGGCTTCTCAGGATCCTAAGGCAGGAGGATCACTTTAGGCCGGGCATTCAAAGCTGCAGTGAGCCATGATTGTGCCACTGCATTCCAGCGTGGGGGACAAAGCAAAACTCCGACTCAAAACAAAAAACAGCAACAACAACAAAAAACAAACAAAACACAATATCTGCCGAGAACACAGCCTATCAGTCAATAAACACTGATCGTTACTATGATATGAAACGAACTATTTTCATCCTATCCAAAGGATGGGTGACTGACAAAGGAGTTGATAGCAAAAGCTACTGGCTATGTCCATAAAATCTCAACATAATTATTCTAACCAAGACAAGAAGATGGCATAGCATTCTCAGGGGCAGAAAGAGAGCACACAATTGGCAGTAACCAGCAATTCCACCCTCCTTAACCCACAGAAAAAAAAACACGTGGTGTGCAGACTCTGAAGTTAGATGGAAGCGTTCATTAAAACAGACATAAATCTGCATCCACTGCAGTGAATAATGAAACACACCAAAAATAAAAATAACTTTTAAAAAGCAGATATAAATCACTTAATTGAACCTAAACCATCATGCAACTTGACTCTGTAAAATTTCTGCTCTTTTAAAAAATGTCTAATATTTTAATATATAAAATAAAAGCTGGCATGGAAGAGAACAGAAGACTCACCTTAGAACAAACAAAATCAACTAATGTAGCTTCCTCTTCACCTATATATTCTATGATTTTCTTATTAATCCATGGTCTAATTCGACGTTCCATCAGTATCTACAAAACAAAGCATGGTTACTGAATTAAAGAATTGTAACTTGCGATCACAGTTATTAAAGCTTCATGATTTTTCCTGAGACTAAAATATAATGTTAATTCACAAGTTGAACTAAGACAGATACGTATCAAGATACAATCATCTGCTTTTAATAAGTCTTCAAGTACCACCAAAAAATGTTCCATTATTACTAATTTCTTGACCATGGCATTGAGTTAGTGTCAAGATGATCATCCCTACGTATTTGTCATTAATAGAATCAAACGAGGTTTTTTTTCCTTCAAATGAATTTTTATGGCATATTCCAACTGTTCCCAATAACATGATGAAATATAATTTCATACTCACAGAATCCACAATAGACCAATCCAGGGGATAAGCGAAGAGCTCAGGTTTGGCTGTAGGGATTTTCTCAATGAGACTCTTAATGTGTTTACGCTTTTCTTCAGTGTTTACAGTGCCTTTGGCTGCATTTTTATCATCTTCACCATAATCCAAGGGAACCAGTTTCCTTTTTCGGGGTACGTCATCACTGTCTTCATCCTCAAATTTGTTAAAGACACTATCTACAGGCAGTTTCTTTCTCTTCACAGAATTAGGCTGACCAGGACTATTGGAAGCACCTACAGTAAAAACACTCTCTTAGCATGATGACTTAATTTCCAAATGTTTCATTTTACAACCCACCATCCCTCAAAAGCAATGCAAAATATACTTCCACAAATCTTAGAGAAAGATCCCAACTGTAAAAAATAACTCACTACTCACAAGTGCTAGAAAATTAAACTTTTCACTTCTTCTCAGAACTCGAGGCAGCTGCAGATATAGGAGCACTAGTAAAACTATGAAAACAATCGTGAGCTAGAAAGGCATTTTTTAGTAAAATTCTATCTACCTAACCAAGCACAAATATATATTTTTTTCCTTAAAGCACAATACAGGTATTTGCAGGGGTGAAGGGAAGAAAATAAAGAAGGAAGGAAATGCTAACGTACCCAGTTTAAGACTTAGTCCTATTTTTGGCCTATGCTCCTCAGGTTGCTGTTGATCTGGTGAGTTTTCATGAGGAATAATAATACCACAGGGAGACTCATCCCCAGGAGTGTTAGGTGTTGCATTGCCACTGGCAGAGGAAACAGACGGAGCAGAGCTGATGGGCCTCAGAGTAGGTTTCAGACAAGGTTTTTGCTCTGGCTCCTCTTCCTCTTCCATGGGTTCTTCTCGTTTTTCTTCTTTTTCTTGCTTTTCTTCTTCCTCCTCTTCTGATTCTGGCTCTTGCTTTATTTGTGGCTGCCTGCGCCTCTCAGCCTCTTGTTCCATCTAAAACCAAAACAATAATCTGATTAACTACAACTCTACACCATTCAACTTGATTTTTGTTTTACATTATCTCTTGTAAAATGTCTTTATGAAAAGAGAAAAAGCCAGGCGTGGTGGCTCACGCCTGTAATCCCAGCACTTTGGGAGGCCGCAGCGGGCAGATCACCTGAGGTCAGGAGTTTGAGACCAGCTTGGCCAACATGGTCTCTACTGAAAATACAAAAATTAGCCAAGTGTGGTGGTGCAAGACTGTAATCCTAGCTACTCAGGAAGCTGAGGCAGGAGAATCGCTTGAATCTGGGAGGTGGAGGTTGCAGTGAGCCTCGCAGAATTGCACTACAGCCTGGGCAACAGAGCAAGACTCCATCTCAAAAAAAAAATAAGAAAAAGAAAAAAAAAAAGGACATGGGCAGTGGCTCAAACCTGGGTAAAACAGGAAAACCCCATCTCTACAAAAAAGTATAAAGAAGTTAGGCACTCTGCTCATACTTGTAAGTGTCCCAGACACTCAGGAGGTAGAGGCCTGAGGACCACTTGAGCCCAGGAGGCAGAGGGTGCAGTGAACCAAGATTCCACCACTGCACTCTAGCCTAGGCAACAAAGCCAGACTCTGTCTCAGGAAAAAAAAAAAGGCCGGGCACGGTGGTTCACGCCTGTAATCCCAGGACTCTGGGAGGCCAAGATGGGCGGATCACTTGGGGTCAGGAGTTCAAGACTAGCCTGATCAACATGGTAAAACCCCGTTGCCGCTAAAAATACAAAAATTAGTCAGGAGTGGTGGCGCATGCCTGTAATCCCAGCTACTCAGGAGGCGGAGGCAAGAGAATTCCTGGAGCCTGGGAAGCGGAGTTTGCAGTGAGCCGAGATGACACCACTGTACTCCAGCCTGGGCGACAGAGCGAGACCCCATCTCAAAAAAAATAAATAAATAAAAATAAAAATACAGGCCGGGCGCGGTGGCTCAAGCCTGTAATCCCAGCACTTTGGGAGGCCGAGATGGGTGGATCACGAGGTCAGGAGATCGAGACCATCCTGGCTAACACGGTGAAACCCCGTCTCCACTAAAAGATACAAAAAATTAGCCGGGCAAAGTGGCGGGCGCCTGTAGTCCCAGCTACATGGGAGGCTGAGGCAGGAGAATGGCGTGAACCCGGGAGGCGGAGCTTGCAGTGAGCTGAGATCCGGCCACTGCACTCCAGCCTGGGTGACAGAGCGAGACTCTGTCTCAAAAAAAATAAAAATAAAAATAAAAATACAAAAATTAGCCAGGCAAGGTGGCATGCACCTGTAATCCCTAATACTAACCAACTACTTGGGTACCTGAGGCAGAAGAATTCCTTGAACCCAGGAGTCAGGGGCTGCAGTGAGCAGAGATCACACTATTGCACTCCAGTGTGAGCAAGAGAGCGAGACTCCATCTCAAAAACAAAACAAAACAAAACAAAAAACAAAAAAGGAAACAGCTTTATTTTAAAAACAAAATACTGGCTGGGTGCGGTGGCTCATGCCAGTAATGTCAGCAGCACTTTGGGAGGCCGAGGCGGGTGGATCACCTGAGGTCAGGAGTTTGAGACCAGCCTGGACAACATGGTGAAGCCCTGTCTCTACTAAGAAAACATAAAAAATTAGACAATCCCAGCTACTCCAGAGGCTGAGGCAGGAGAATTGCTTAAACCCGGGAGGCAGAGATTGCAGTGAGCCGAGATCACGCCCATTGCACTCCGGGCTGGGCAACAAGAGTGAAACTCCATCTCAAAATAAATAAATAAAAACAAAATACTTTGAATGGCAATAGAGAAGGAATTTAAATCACAGAAAGTAAGTGTCAGAGCAAATTATAGGAAGAACAGGTTCAACTATAGAAATAACAGATTCTAGCAAAGTGGCATTAGAAGACATACAATAGGCCGGGCGCAGTGGCTCAAGCCTGTAATCCCAGCACTTTGGGAGGCCGAGGCGGGCAGATCACAAGGTCAGGAGATCGAGACCATCCTGGCTAACACAGTGAAACCCCGTCTCTACTAAAAAAATTCAAAAAAACTAGCCGAGCAAGGTGGCGGGCACCTGTAGTCCCAGCTACTTGGGAGGCTGAGGCAGGAGAATGGCGTAAACCGGGGAGGTGGAGCTTGCAGCGAGCTGAGATCCAGCCACTGCACTCCAGCCTGGGCGACTGAGTGAGACTCCGTCTCAAAAAAAAAAAAAAAAAAGACATACAATAGAATGGCCAGGCGCAGTGGCTCATGCCTGTAATCCCAGTACTTTGGGAGGCCGAGGCCAGTGATCACTTGAGGTAGACCAGCCTGGCCAACATGGTGAAACCCTGTCTCCAACTAACAATACAAAAATTAGCTGGGCGTGGTGGCGGGCACCTGTAATCCCAACTACTTGGGTAGTTGAGCCAGGAGAATAACTTGAACCCAGGAGGCAGAGGTTGCAGTGAGCTGAGATCGCACCACTGCACTCCTGCCTGGGAAGACAGAGCCAGACTCCATTAAAAAAAAAAAAAAAAAAAAGACATACATAGAAAACAAATGAATAAGACATCCGCAGGATGTTTAGAATGAAGTTGTAAATCAACTAATACTGACAACTTGTGTAATTAAAGTACTAATAACGTTCCACAAAATAGCACGTTACATGGAGCATAAAATGCATGTCCCTTAACTATAAATTAAACTGCATCATAGTTGGCTTTAAGTTGACGTGATAACCTTAAAACAAAAATCATGTGGATGGTGTATAGTATCTTACCCTCTGGAGCTCTGCATCTGGATCTGGATGCCCTTCTGCCAGAAGGCGCTGCCTGATTTCCTCAAGCTCCTCCTTCTCTCTCTTCCTATCTCGTTCATCTGCTTCCATTTCCTTTTCTCTATCACGCAATCTTTTCTGAAGAGCACTTCCTCTGTAAAAGTGAATGATAAAAGGCTTCATTTAATACTCAGATCATTGAGCAGTACACATGACATCTCCAACAGCACCTCTTTTCAATACTACAACCTGCATGCTAAGAGGTTAAAGAATGTCTTAATGTTCCATATTTATAGAACACACCAGAGTGTGTTCTCTACCTGTAAATGTATAACAAATAAGCATTATCTTGTCATTTACCACTATGTTCCCTTCATCCTTAAAGTCATTCTCATAAATGTTTAAAGAAGTAAAATAGTCGCTTTCAGAAAGACAGCTCACATTTTGTGCCTATTTCACAAGGAATACCCAACAAATAATTTTCGTTTTCCTAGATACCAACCTAAAAAAAATAGGTAAAGTAGCATTAGTAGCACTGAGAGTTCTGCATCCTCAATTTATTCACTTGTAAAAAATATCTCAGAGGCCGGGCGCGGTGGCTCAAGCCTGTAATCCCAGCACTTTGGGAGGCCGAGACGGGCAGATCACGAGGTCAGGAGATCGAGACCATCCTGGCTAACATGGTGAAACGCCGTCTCTACTAAAAATACAAAAAACTAGCCGGGCGAAGTGGCGGGCACCTGTAGTCCCAGCTACTCGGGAGGCTGAGGCAGGAGAATGGCGTGAACCTGGGAGTCGGAGCTTGCAGTGAGCTGAGATCCGGCCACTGCACTCTAGCCTGGGTGACAAAGCGAGACTCTGTCTCAAAAAAAAAAAAAAAAAAAAAATCTCAGAAAGCAGTGCAGAATCAACAGAAAGCAGAGGTTCTCTCCTATCTAGCAGTTCATTACTTCTCAGAATGTGGACGTTATACATTGCCACTTTATGCTTCTGGCCTTCAATAATTTTACTGATTTCATGGCATTTTCTACAAAGCCAAATCCCTGGCACTCTTTAAATTTAAGCAACTAATTACAATGTTTTAATTATTTTGGCTATATTGTATTAAACTATATTAAATATCTTCACTATGATTGTATCATGTCAGACAAATTAGAGATAAAATACTATAGATAAAACTATAGACAAAACAGAACTATAGATAAAATAGTATCAAGACACTGTCTATATCCCCAGGGAACTTACAGTTTGGATGGAAGGAAGGGCAAAACAAGCAATTTTGCCACAATGTCATAAATACTAGAATGAGAGTAGTTTGAAAATGCCATGGGAACAAAGAATGAGAGAAGGCAGTTGTCACACTCTTACTTCACAATAATGTATCAATTTGGAGATGGGGTGAGAGACAGAGGTCAAATTGCTAGGAGACCAAAATTTCTAGACAAACCCAGATAGTTACAGAGATTAGTTGTAACTTGCTATAAAAATTGGACCTAGGAGACAGGTGTGATAGCCCACACCTATAGTCCAACCTACTCAAGAGACTGCGAAGGGAGGATTGCTTGAGCCCAAGAGTTCAAGGTTACAATGAACTATGATCATGCCACTGCATTCCAGCCGAGGTAAGACCCTGTCTCTAAAAAACATCAAGAAAAATTTTTAAAAATCAGACCTATTTACAACACACAAAGATAAAAACAGTATTATTTGATATAATACTATCATGGGCTCCCCTACTGCACAAAAGATGCATAGAAACGTTGATACTTTTCTGATAGGTCTTTTCTCCCAAGAAAACAGTATATATAGAAGTAATTATTACACGGAATGTGAAAGTTTCTTGTTTTCTTATTCCACTTAGTGAACCTGCATCATCAACTGTGCGTATGGGAAAATACAGCTAATAAAAAACCAAGTATGAGTCCACAGAACAAGCCTTCTTTACCTGTAATATTTGGGGTCATCTCTATCATCATCATAGTCTTCTAAGAATTCTTTTAGTCGTTTAGCTTCTTTGGCCTTTGAGGAAATAAGGACAATGTATAAAAATAACATAAAAGCAATAAAGATTACCCTTCCCTTTTTCGTGTAAACAGATTTTTCAGACTCAGACATTAACCAAGAGTAAGGGGAAGATTTATAGGAATTTCTCTTCACATAATTTTAGGAAAAACATGGCCGTTTCAATAAATGAAACTAAAGTTTCTCCTGGATCCCAGAATTTAAACCATATTTATAAATGTATAATGTATCCAGCTATTTGGTTTAAATAAACTTGTTGGGCTAGACTGGGAAATGGTATTTTTACTATTTTCTATAGAGAAAATATTTTCTAATTTAAGTTGGAGCTATCTGCACAGCTCTCTCTCTACAGTTGTACATAAAATGTTTTTACTGTAAAATGAGATATATATAAAATACCACTGTATGCCATAAGATAATAATATTTTGGTTAAAAAAAAGATTTTTCTTATCCTCTTAAATTTTATTTTTCATATACTTCATATATTAATTAAAAGTCGCATTAGACATTTTAAATTTTTTACCTCTAAGAAAAGTTCGAATGAGGACGTATCTGTAAAATGCAAACCACATATATATACTACGCTACAATAAATATGCTCTTTGAATATAATCTTCAAAATACAATACCTAAGCACACCAACAAAACTGGAGATTATCTTATTAAATGAAAAATACGGCTCACGCCTGTAATCCCAGCACTTTGGGAGGCCAAGGCAGGCAGATCATTTGAGGTCAGGAGTTTGAGACCATCCTTGCCAACATGGTGAAACCCCATCTCTACTAAAAATACAAAAATTAGCTGGGTGTGGTGGCACACACCAGTAATCCCAGCTACTCGGGAGGCTGAGGCAGAAGAATCGCTTATCACTTCAACCTGCGAGGAGGAGGTTGCAGTGAGCCAAGATTGCACCCCTGCGTGGGTGGCAGAGCAATACTCTGTCTCAAAAAAAAAAAAGTATATACATATATATATATATACATGTTTACATGTATGTATATGTTTTTTAATTCCATTTTTAAGGTAGATGATACTATAAGAAATAGTTTTTAAGAAACGCAGAAATTTAAATCATGTTCATCAATCAATTTAAAGGTTAATGCCTACCTAACTCTAAACTGATAGCAAACAATCCATGAGATAAAATGAATCTCTTACTCTTAACTTATGGAATTTGAAATGCAACTATTACATCTAATAACAACAGTTCAACAATTTTAAAAATATGCAGATTCTTAAAAATAAGTTAATAACTTTTTGACTTAAATATTACTATGACAAATTTACTTTGATGGTATACAGAAAGATAACTTTGGATGTAGCAAAAATTTGAAAAGAGGAAAAAAGATTTTGGTGTACTTAAATTGGCTCAAAATGCTCAAAATACATAAAAATTAAATTATCCATGAACAGAGAAGCGTGTGCATTTCTTTTTCTTTTTCTTTTTTTTTTGAGGCGGAGTCTGGCTCTCTTGCCCAGGCTGGAGTGCAGTGAGAGCTCCGCCTCCTGGGTTCACGCCATTCTCCTGCCTCAGCCTCCCAAGTAGCTGGGACTACAGGCGCCCGCCACCTCGCCCAGCTAGTTTTTTGTATTTTTTAGTAGAGACGGGGTTTCACTGTGTTAGCCAGGATGGTCTCCATCTCCTGACCTCGTGATCCGCCCGTCTCGGTCTCCCAAAGTGCTGGGATTACAGGCTTGAGCCACCGCGCCCAGCCGTGCATTTCAATTATTAAGTTACTTGTAGTCAGCAGCAAAGATATAATCTGACTTTATACCTGAAAAATCACTTACTTTGGCCTAGAATCTTACCATTTCTCTTCTTCTTTCTTCTTCTCTTTCAGCTTCTTTCTCATATTCCCGGGTTTTCTTTCGTTCTCTGATTTCCCAATTCTTAAGGCGCTAAAAAAATTAAAATTTTGAAAGCTTTAAAAGTTTATACATAGCGTTCTATAAATTTTAGTTAACCTATTAAGGGATATCAAGATAAGAATAAAAGCATTTGTTCAACTTACCTCTTGATAAGCAGCTTCTTTCTCTCGGAGTTTTCTTTCAAGTTTTCTTCGTTCATATGCATCTTCTTCATCTTCTTCTCGGTCCCGTTTTTTGTCTTTTTCTCTTTCTCGCTCCCGTTCCCTCTCTCGCTCTCTCTCTCGCTCCCGTTCTCGTTCTCGCTCTCGTTCTCTCTCTCTCTCTCTTTCCCGCTCTCGTTCCCTTTCACGATCTCTGCTTTTTTCTCTAATGTAAACAAAATATTTTACAAACCTGTCAGTCTACTTTCTGTTTTCAAGACCAAAGTAAAGGAGGACAACATATATTATGAAATAATATAAAATCTCACAGGCCAGAATCTAGCACTTGATTTCCAGAGAACTATATAACCTCTTCTACACTCACGAGAAAGACATAAATTGCAGTCACAAATCCTAAAATGCATTCTAATATCAATGTTAATGCTTACTGGTATGTCAGAAAACAACTACAATCTAAATATAAAATAGTTACAAATCATTAAAATGAATGATTAGTTAATGCTCATCATATACTGGAATAACAGTCAATCCCCTGATGAACAGTCAATCCCTGATGGTGTAAAACAGAAAAAGGAAAAATTGTTAATTCCCAAAAAGAAGTATGAAGGACTAATGAATATGTTAAGAGATAGTAAAATAATCTTTTGTTTAAAAAAAAAAAAAAAAAAGAGATAGTTTAGCTTACTAGTAATCAGGGAGTAAGTGCTGGCAAACGTGGAAAACAGAGAATTTTGACATAAGGTAATGGATTGTTAGAACTTTGTAAGTATCAGCACTGAAAGTCCTCAAATATTTAATTAGAATGATAAAATCTAATCCCCAGCATTTTAAGAAGCTGAGGCAGGAGGTTGCTTGAGCCAAGAGGCATGGTGGCACGTGCCTGTAGTCCCGGCTACTCCAGAGGCTGATGTGGGAAGATCCTATGAAACCAGGACTTCGAGTTTACGGTGACCTATGATTACATCACCGCACTCCAGTCAAGGTGATTTGAGCACGCTCTGTCTTCCAAAAAAAAAAAAAAAAAAAAAGTACTAAAACCAAACTGCAGATTATATATAGTATGGTGCTAAGGATCTAATTAACATCTGCATGTATGTGTATTTAATATGTATATGAAATACACTCTTCATGGATACACTTATGCCAGCAATATGAGAGATGGATTTATACATACCTAACCTCTCTAAATGACGTAATTGTGGAGTGACAGAATGAAATAATTTTAATGCCTACTAAAGGTTGAGTTTCAGTTCTAGTTCTAGTAATTAGGTAAATGACCTAAAGTGGAACTCCCTCCAGCCATAATCAAGTAAGAAACTGCAACACAGTAATGTATATTTTAAAACTAGCTTGAAGAAAAAGGAGCTTTTTCTCTCTTCCTTGCTGCTTTCTCCTCTTCCTTTGTTCATGTTTGCTATACCTCATTGCTCAATGAGATGACTCACTAAAAATAATTCAATATAAGGCCGGCCGTGGTGGCTCACACCTGTAATCCCAGCACTTTGGGAGGCTGAGGCAGGCAGATTACCTGAGCTCAGGAGTTCGAGACTAGCTGGGCAACATAGTAAAACCTGGTCTCTACAAAAAAAAAAAATTCAAAAATTAGTCCGGGACAGTGGTGTCTGCCTGTAGTCCCAGCTACTTGGGAGGCTGAAGCAGGAGAATTGCTTAAGCCTGGGAGGCGAAGGTTGCAATGAGCCAAGACTGCACCACTGCACTCCAACTTGGGTGACAGAGCAAGACCATGCCTCAAAAAAAAAAAAAAAAAAAAAAAAAAATCAATATAATTTTAAAAATTTAAATAAAAAATAAAACCTTCCAAAGAGTAAAATTACTAGGAGCCAGAGGTAGAGGTAGATAGTAAATTTATAGACAGAAAGATTAAGCTGTGGCAGTGCAGTGGGCTAAAAAACCAAATAAAAATGCTAGGGGCTAAAAAGATGTGGTGTTGGAGTTGATGTCTCAGTATACAGAACTTCAACGAAAAGAACAACTTAAAAAATACCCAGGGACCCAGGGAGACAGCAGGGAGTCATGTCTGCCCAGAACACTGAGTGGCCACTGTGTTTCTATAAAAAGTGGCTTCAGACAGAAATTAATCAGAGTTGAAAATTATTACTTTCACCCATAGTGAGTGAGTGTGTGTGTGTGTGTGTGTGAGAGAGAGAGAGAGAGAGAGAGAAAGAGCGCGAGAGACAAAGAAAGAGAGAGAGCCGGGCGCGGTGGCTCAAGCCTGTAATCCCAGCACTTTGGGAGGCCGAGGCGGGTGGATCACGAGGTCAGGAGATCGAGACCAGCCTGGCTAACATGGTGAAACCCCGTCTCTACTAAAAATACAAAAAACTAGCCGGGCGTGGTGGCGGGCGCCTGTAGTCCCAGCTACTCGGAGGCTGAGGCGGGAGAATGGCGTGAACCCGGGAGGCGGAGCTTGCAGTGAGCCGAGATCGCGCCACTGCACTCCAGCCTGGGTGACACAGCGAGACTCCGTCAAAAAAAAAAAAAAAAAGAGAAAGAGAGAGAGAGACAGATAAAGACCATGTTGTCTCTAAAAAAAATTCTCGCAGGCTGGGCGCAGTGACTCACGCCTCTAGTCCTAGCACTTTGGGAGGTTGAGGCAGGCGGATCACTTGGGGCCAGGAGTTCAAAAACCAGGCTGATTAACATGGCAAAACCCCATCTCTACCAAAAATACAAAAAATTAGCTGGGCATGGTGGTATGAACTTGTAATCCCAGCTACTTGGGAGGCTGAGGAACGAGAATCACTTGAACCCAGGAGGCGGAGATTGCAGTGAGCCATGCTCAGCCACTGCAGTCCAGCCTGAGTGACAAAGTGAGAATGTCTCACACACACACAAAAAATCCTCTCATTCCATGAATGCAAATGGTACTCTGGAGGACTACCCGGTAGTTCTATAAAAGCTATTAGGAAACAGTAACTTCTGTAAAGACTTACCTTGATCGACTCCGATCCTTATTACGATCTGAGCTCCTTTCTCTATCCCGGTCACGATCTCTCTCTCGATCCCGATCTCGGTCTCTCTCTTTCGTCCGGTCACGGTCCCTATCCCGTTCTCGTTCCCGCTCCCGTTCTTTCTCCTTTTCTCGTTCACGTTCTCTTTCCCTTTCTCGTTCCCGTTCTCGCCTTTCTCGTTCCCTTTCACGCTCCCTCTCTCTTTCTCTCCGTTCTTTCTCAATTTCCTGTCTTTCTTTTTCCTTTTTGCCTTTCTCTTCTTCCAGTTTCTAGAAACCAATAAAAGCACTTTTAGAGTTAACTCTGTAGCTCCAGTATTCAGATTTTTCCCGGCGCAATGCCCAATATTGGGAACAAAAACACCAAACCACTGATACACTAATATTAAATACTTGTGGTTTTATGTGACAAATTAAACTGAAGCAATCACAAGACTAGAAAGATTTCGTGCAAAACCATATACTCTACACAGACCAGGAATCTCCAATCTTGGATGCTGGGAGATTGTGTCAGGTGTGGCTGGCCACTCAATGACTATGTACTAACTAAAATGACCATGAAGAATGTGGTGGTTCGAAATATTTTCTATAAATACTATCATTGGTTAAAACTCAACTCTGTCCATTATGGATTTCTGTAAATCCACAAGATTAATACTAATTAAAACCCCAGACTGCACATTACCTCAAGTTGAGGGTTTCAAAGGGCAAGTGGTACAGAAGAATACCTATAATGCAACTAAATAATCTCTGCCCTCTGATTTGCCCACCCTCCAAAAGAAACACAAGCTGAATTCAGCCAAGAACTGCTTTATTATCTATGGAAACATTTACTCCCACCATTACAAGATGGACAGCCCACCAAATACAAAAAGTCTGAAAATCACTCACTTCAAGCAAAATATATGTAACTGTAATAGTTTCATTTAAAATATTTAAAAGCAATACACTTATGCCCATTATGCCTGTAAGACAATGAAAATATATTTACAATGATAAATCCATCCTTGGAAGGAATGATTGTGCATTAACTTACAGATGCTGTGCTAGGACATGGATCGCCAACACTGGATTAACCTTGCCTACAAGCTATGTTTCTGGGAGGAAGAGCAAGTACATGGTTCACAAATAAACCAAATAACAAAGTCAGACCAAGTTTGTACCCTGAAAAGATTACCAGTGTACCACACGGTTTCTACACAAACTCAGAAAAAAATATCCCAAACAGGTAAAACAATACAAAACACATTTATCCCTTTTGTTTCACGTTTAGTTTCACCGAAATGAAATTTTAAACTGCAACAATAAAATGTGCATTTTTCTTTTCTCAGTCATGTAATGCATTTAAAACAACTTTAAAAAGCAATCTTACCTGTCAGATACTCTCTTTCTCTTCCTCATGGATCAGAGAACTGATAGCAGGTTATGAAAGAAAAGCTAATGTATGAGCAACATATTCAGTTGCTGTGCCAGTCTGTATCGAAGTAGAATGCAGGCAAAGCCAAAACTGAATACATTGAAATTACAAAGGGATGAAATGAGATGACAGAAAGAGGACAGAAACTGACAGCTATTAAAGGGGGAAAAAATCTCATTTCTGAAACAGTTCTAATGAATATAAAAATTTATATTGTAAAATGAGGCTAGACTATATAAAACTTACCTCAATGGCATACACTTATAAAGAAATTTGTTTATTTCTGAAATAGATACTTACAGAATATTTTAGCTGTTCCAATACTAATTTTCCTGTAGAATTCCTCAATTTTTAGTTCTTGCTTATTTCACTGTGCTCTTTATATTCAGTAATAAAAATAACCATTTGTTTCAGAACTCATTTCAAAAGTTTGATTCTAAGTAAATGAAAAAGTGAGTGAATCTAGTCCATACTAAATGTTTCCTAAAGTTTATATGAGAGAGATATATATATACATGTATATAAGTATATGTATACATGTAAACATATACATGTATTTTTTAAAATAAAGACTGGAGAAGGGAAATGAGGCGAGTCTAAAATTACGTAAGAAAGTAATGAAGAGGAAAGGACAGATTTTTAAAAAATCATAAATCTTACCTCATTCTCTCTTCAGACTCATCCGTGCTGTAAATGGACGCCCCCTGCCACGCTGATACCCTGACAGTCTGTGGTTATTTAATAAACTCATACCAAAACATGCAAAGGTTCACTGAGCTCATTTTTTGTTACTGAAGTTTCAAACAACCCTTTTAGCCAAACCACCCAATAAAAAAAAAACTGTTTTGGTTTTTCATTTTGATCTCTTTTTATTTTGAAAAGACATTCTGAAAATTCAAAACATTCCCTCCAGTGAAACAATACTAAGGCAGTAAAATGCCTGACAGATTCCCAAACTTTAAAGCAAATATATTTTCGAATTTTTCTTAAAACATGATTTCCTCATAATTTACCAATAACATGACAGGGTTTAACAAATAAATAAAAACAAAAAGGGGGTAAACCACACACACAACCATATACCATTTTTAAGCTTACTCGGTTCTGAATTTGAGTATTATACCTAACCCAAATTATTCATCTAAAATGATTTCCCATAGACCACCTTTTCAACTCTCAAAATTAATTTTGGGAGAATTATGTTTGTGCTCTTAGACACATTTAATTCTCGAAAAAGCACTGTGTATATGAGCAAGGGCTGGGCATCTGGATAGTAAGTGTTCAGCAGCACTGATTCATTGGCATTATTTGTGAACTACAGATTTTGAAAGCAATGGGAAAAAGTAAGAATAAAAGAGAAAACGAACATTTAACATTTCACTGAGTTAAAGAACTCTCAGTCTATCAGTAAGAACCAGCAACACCTTATTATCTCTACCATCAAAATACATGTCATGCAGTGTTTGCATTGCACCGTCCAAAAGCATCATTTTCAACACCAGCGAACATTCACAGATGCACTGTCATTGAGAGAAGCTTCAAATAGGCAAAACTCGTGAGTGGGATTTACTATGCATAAATACCCATTTCCAAGCCAGTTACCCCTTTGCATATTTTTCTGAGGGGGCATCCATAAATATAATAAAAAACAGAAGCTCATACTTACATCCTATTCCTTGTTACTTTCCAAGCTGAGAGTTTCATCTTGCATTAGTCACCATATGATCTCTATCATAATGGTGGGGGTCAATGAATAGATTAGCTTTATGGGAATTTACAGTTCTTCCATGCATCTAAAATTTGGTAAGTCTGGTAACCACTGACCTACTTTTTAAAATCTCCCCCACTCAACTTAAATCTATACAAATATAAAATGTAAATTTTAATCTCAGCTCTCTAAAGAAAGGTAATCCTAAGATCAAGTTAAATAACTGCCCCCAGAAATACACTACAGTGTATGTTATCCTGCTGCCCCCTGAATCTAAGTCTGACCTTGATGTTTATGTTGAAATCTAAAAATAAAATTAGCTTCTATTCATATTAAAGTGAGATGACTGCAGAATAGTCAGTAACTGAAAAAACTAAGCACAATATGCCAAGGACTACTTTAATATGGTATTGGTCTTCTGTTTCTTTTTTCTATCTAAATATCAATTAAACCTATAAAAAGCATTTAAAATTATATTCTAATTTAAGGTTGTTTTTTTTGTCTCTTTGCTTTGGATTCTGTAAAAAGTCTAGATTGGTATCAAGTGAAAAGACAAGAATACTACCTTATGTGTGTCTCTGAATTTGCTGATCTCTCGAGATATCAGGTCTCTTTTGTCTTCTTCCATTTCTATAGCATTTATATCCTCCTAAAAGAAAACGAGCAAAGGAGCTAATGAATAAAGAACAACCTACTTCAATATAAACAGTTAAAGGTTAGATATTCTGTATAAGTCTCAAAGAGTAAATAAGTAAATAGAACATCCACAATAACAAATCTAACAATCTAAAGTTAAATAGTGAAAAATCACAAAGACAAGAATGACAAATCAACAATCAGCAGTAAACACAGGTATTGTCAAAGCCTACAATTTAAACGAACCTTAGTGATGAGCGGATAAGGGATCAGTGGGGCCACTGGAAATCTGCGGAAAATCTGCGAAAAAATCCACCAAGAATCTTTTTTAAAAAAGAAAAACAGAGCTCATACTACTCTGCAAAGCAATGGCCTGTACATTTACGACATGAACAATACAGTACACTTTTGTGATAATTTCTTGATTTCAAATTACTTGGGAATAAAAGTGATTTCTCTCTCTTCACAATAACTGATCACACACCACCTCCTCTCTGGATACTCGAACACCCCCAAAAAATGGAAATATAGAAGGTGATCTCATAGTAGCAGGGCTTTCTAATCATGCCAACAATATTTATCCATAACTCCTGCCACAGAGGAAGATTTTATTATCTCCTCCCAATCCATATCAAACAAATATGTTATTTTTCTCCTTTCCCACTAATGAAGAAAGAGAAAGAATGAACTCTACAGGCCTCAATTACCCTGTACCCTACTGACCCTACCAATTACCATTCCTAATAGAATACACCTCATTAGAAAAGTTATGGGTCGGGCACGGTGGCTCACGTGGATCACGAGGTCAGATCGAGAATATCCGGGCTAACACAGTGAAACCCCGTCTCTATTAAAAATACAAAAAAGCAGCCAGGCATGGTGGCTGAGGCAGGAGAATTGCTTGAACCCGGGAGACAGAGCTTGCAGTGAGCCAAGATCGCAGCCACTGCACTCCAACCTGGGCAACCGAGTGAGACTCCATCTCAGCAGGGGGAGGGAGGGTAAAAAAACAAAAAAGAAAAGTTCTATGGCCAAATGAGGAAATACATACCAAATAATAAAAATGTATCTGGCCACAAAGAAAACTGAAGATGGTCTAAAAAGGCATTCAAATTTAAAATAATGTAAAATGTAACCATCCATTCATAACTAATCATAATATATATACCAGGTAGTACTTTTTTATTATATAATGGATGCATATAAAACACTGGCTATGAGTGGGTCACGCTTGTAGTCCCAGCACTTTGGAAGGCTAAGGCAGGCAGATCATTTGAGCTCAGGAGTTCAACACCAGCTTGGGCAACATGGTGAAACCCCGTCTCTACAAAAAACATAAAAATAGCTGGGTATGGTGGCACATGCCTATAGTCTCAGCTTCTCAGGAGGCTAACGCAGGAGGATCACTTTAGGATGGGTATTCAAGGCTGCAGTGAGCCGTAATTGCGACACCATCCTCCAGTCTGGGTGACAGAGCAAGATACTATCTCAATAACATAAATAAATAAAACAAAACACTTCCAATATTTGTGGGATTTTTTTTCTTACTTTACAGACAGGGTCTCACTCTGTGGCCCAGGCTAGACTCAAGCTCATGGGCTCAAGTAAACCTCCCCTCAGCCTCCCCAGCTGCTGGGACTACATGTATCAGCCACCACTCCTGGTTTCTTCCATTATTTTTAAAAGAACATTTCCCATAATTTATCTAAGTTTATCCAAAGGAAATAAGTAAACCTTTTCTTTCAACCTGGACTGCCCACTGTTCAATTAGCTTAGGGCGACAAAGAGGTAGCAATCAATTCACTGAGGAGGAATGTTTCAAGTTGTACTGTTCTTTCAGAATCCTCCAGTTTGATTATTCAATACCACTATTGTTCAGGGAGGGGAATGTGACATAGTTTCTAAAGAAAGGCAGCTAAAAATTAAGAGTGGGTGGAAATCTTCAGTGAATCAGATCTGGTTTCTTGCTTAGAACAGAGACAGAACAACCATAGGCAAACAAAGTAAAATAAGGGTCAGGTGCAGTGGCTCACGACTGTAATCCTGGCACTTTAGGAAGCTGAGACAGGAGGATAACCTGAACCCAGGAGTTGGAGACCAGTCTAGAAAACATAATGAAACCCTGTCTCTGTAAAAAAGTTTAAAATGTATTTTTAATCCATTTTTAAAAATAATTTTTAAAAAATTTTAAGGCTGGGAGTGGTGGCTCACGCCTGTATCCCAGCACTTTGGGAGAATGAGGCAAGTGGATCCCTTGAGGGATATATGGCATATAACCCATGAGCATTCTCCCATATACTTTAAAACTTCTCTAGATTACATACAATGCCCCACAGAACCCCAGAGGCGGAGGTTATAGGAGGTTATAGTGAGCTGAGACTGCGCCACTGCATTCCAGTCTGGGAGACAAAGTGAGCCTGCATCTCAAAAAAAAAAAAAAGAAAGAAAGAAAAGAAAGAAAAAAGAAAACTGACATGTAATCAAAGCATAAGAGTGATATCATAAAAAACAAATGGTAGAAATTATATGTTGTTGTCAGAACACATACGTCCTCCTTCTTTTCCTTCTTCTTCTTCCTGGGGTGAGAATCAGATTCCTGTGAGGGGGCATTTAGCTCACTGGAGTATTCACGAATTAAAACTTCAATAGCCCCTTTAATCATCTGATCTCTCCTCTTTGTTTCTTCATCCAAGGCTTCTTCATCGTCATTAGTGACAGTTTCTGGCCTTGCATTCTTAAAGAAAACAGCAAATTCAGGGGAAAGAAAAATCAAGCAAGAAAATCAAAATCACTCTACAACAACAGTTAACAAACATACATGTTTTCTCAAAAACATCTCTGTAGTCCTATTAAACACAGAGTTGGTTTTGTTCTTAACATCATAAAAGCTTCATTTTTTTTTTTTTATTTCACTATTCCTGAGATACTAGTTCATTTTCATTTTCTTTTTCTTAATAGCTAAAAAATTCTGGCCCCTAAATTTCAGGACTAGCACACTATATAACACATCTGCAAACCATTCACAAGTTTTCAGACTGTTTTGCTCAATAGGTACACAAATAGTTAACAACTGTATGTAATAGTTCATTCTTTTAAACAGATACTAAATGGCTGAAAATTCAGTTATGCAGTAAAGGCAAAATACAATTTTAAGTTAATTGTGAAAGCTACCGCACAGAATAAACAAAATTGTATGTAGGTTAAACAAACAAAAACATCAGATTGTTAAATACACCAAAATGCCAGAATCAGGAGTTTAGGGGCTGAAATGATGGCTTATTTCCTATTTGGTTTCTACCAGTTCTTACAATGCAAGAATACCACTTATAGAAACCATACACTTACAACACTAAGAAGGAATCAAAGTAACTATTTGTAGGTCTTTATCAGTAATTTTCTGGCCAGGCGTGGTGGGGCTCACTCCTGCAACCCCAGCACTATGGGAGGCCGAGGGGGGCTGGATCATGAGGTCAGGAGTTCAATTAAGACCAGCCTGGTCAACATGCTGAAACCCCATCTCTACTAAAAATACAAAAATTAGCCGAGTGCGGTGGTGTATGCCTATAATTCCAGCTACTCAGGAGGCTGAGGCAGGAGAATCGCTTAAAACGGAAAGGCAGTGGTTGCAGTGAGCAGAGATTACGCCACTGCAATCCAGCCTGGGCAAAAGAGCGAAACTCCATCTCAATAATAATAATTATTATTTTCTAAGAAGTCTAGATTATTCCCTCTATGTAGGGGAAATTGTTGGCTTCTAATGTGCTACAATAGTGGTGCATGCCCCAAAGTTTTTAAAGATTTACTTGGTAAACATATACTGTGCACATTTTCAGATACATACAAGAACCATGCTCATGTGCATACATGCCTGGCTCTTGGTCATAATTCCTGCAACTCTATTCAAGGTGAGTTTCATGCCTTGTGGCTCCTTAACAACGTAACTTAGCACTAACTTTTAAGCTGACCACCAGCATTCTGAAAGCTGTCTCCAATGGATATATATTCAACAAACATTTTCTTCTTTTTTTTTTTTTTTTTTTTTGAGACGGAGTCTCGCTCTGTCGTTCAAGCTGGAGTGCAGTGGCCGGATCTCAGCTCACTGCAAGCTCCGCCTCCCGGGTTTACGCCATTCTCCTGCCTCAGCCTCCAGTGTAGCTGGGACTACAGGCGCCCGCCACCTCACCCGGCTAGTTTTTTGTATTTTTTAGTAGAGACGGGGTTTCACTGGGTTAGCCAGGATGGTCTGGATCTCCTGACCTCACGGTCTGCCTGTCTCGGCCTCCCAAAGTGCTGGGATTACAGGCTTGAGCCACCGCGCTCGGCCAACATTTTATTTCTTAAATTAATTTGCTCAATTATTATTTTTTTTTTTTCTTGCTCTGTTGCCCAGGCTGAAGTGCAGTGGCACCATCTCACCTCACTGCAAGCTCCGCCTCCCGGTTTCACGCCATTCTCCTGCCTCAGCCTCCGGAGTAGCTGGGACTACAGGTGCCCGCTACCACGCCCAGCTAATTTTTTTGTATTTTTAGTAGAGACGGGGTTTTACTGTGTTAGGATGGTCTCAACCTCCTGACATCATGTTCCGCCCGCCTCGGCCTCTGAAAGTGCTGGGATTACAGGCATGAGCCACCGCACCCAGCAACGAAATCTTAAGAGCGTAAGGTGAGAAAAATGCTGCACTTAGACGAAGTAAAATTCAAATTGAAAAACGCGCTCTTCTCCTCAAGCTATACCAATACAGAGTAACAGATGGGTTATGACACAGATAACTTAAATATAAGGCATTATGTGTTATTATAAAACTAACCACTTGGCAGGGCACGGTGGCTCACGCCTGCAATCCCAGCACTTTGGGAGGCCAAGGCGGGCAGATCACGAGGTCAAGAGTTCAAGACCCGCCTGGCCAGCATGGTGAAACCCCATCTCTACCAAAGTTACAAAAAATTAGCTGGGCATGGTGACACGTGCCTGTAATCTCAGCTATTCCGAAGGCTGAGGCAGGAGAACTGCTTGAACCCAGGAGGTGAAGACTGCACTGAGCCGAGATCACTCCACTCCATTCCAGGCTGGGAGACACAGCAAGACTCTGTCTCCCCGCCGCACACAAAAACAAACTCGCTCCTGTAATCCCAGCATTTTGGGAGGCTGAGGTGGGCGGATCACAAGGTCAGGAGTTTGAGACCAGCCTGATCAACACTGTGAAACTCCGTCTCTACTAAAAAAACACAAAAATTCCCCAGCCGGGTGCAGTGGCTCACAAGGTCAGGAGATGGAGACCATCCTGGCTAACACAGTGAAACCCCGTCTCTACTAAAAACACAAAAAAATAGCCAGGCATGGTCCCAGCTACTTGAGAGGCTGAGGTAGGAGAATCACTTGAACCTGGGAGGCAGAGACTACAGTGAGCCAAGATCGCACCACTGCACTCCAGCCTGGGCGACACAGCGAGACTCCTTAAAAAAAAAAAATCCGTATAAACCCTAAATTGAGTTTATACTGTTTCCACTGTAAACCAAAATTTAAATATCAATATGGCTATTTTACCTGAATTAGAGATAAAAGCATTTGGAATTAACTAACTCACATTTTTAGAAGAAAAGTTTATTAACCCAAAAATCTTAACTGATTGCTAATATTAAAAAAAAAAAAAAAACTGATTATGGTAGATGATCAGGTTAGAAAGACACTCCACAGACTGCCAAGTTTCATCTAAAGCTCTCTCTCTGGAATATCAACCATACACAATTTTCTGATTTTCCGTTTTTTTCTTATACTTCAGAAACCAGATGGCCGGGCGCGGTGGCTCACACCTGTAATCCCAACACTTTGGGAGGCCTAGGTGGGTGGACCACCTGAAGTCAGGAGTTCAAGACTAGCCTAGCTAACATGGAGAAACCCATCTCTACTAAAAATACAAAAAATTAGCCAGGAGTGGTAGCGGGTGCCTGTACTCCCAGTTCCTCAAGAGGTTGAGGCAGGAGAATTGCCTGAATCCAGGAGGTGGAGGTTGCACTCCAGCCTGGGAGACAAGAGTGAGACTTTGGAGGGCGAAGTGGGAGAAACCAGAAAGCATATTCAGTAATACTGGGAAACAAAAGGTCAAGGATTCAGCCATATAGGAAGCTGATAGATTATCTGTAATGTTTACATTACAGATAATTACAACCTAGTTGGTTCTTTTCAGAGAAATTAAAATTTCAATAGTAAAGCTAGTGGCTGTGAAGTTAAACAGCTCTGCTGGGCTCATTCTTTGACAATGAGTTCTAGAATGCAAAGTACGAACCTTTTAAAAAATTTAAGGAAATGCAGAGTTCTTTCTTTTGAGAAAATGTGGACTCAACTAGGCTAATTTCCAGACAAAGATGTTCACCTGCAACAGCTGTCCTCTATTAACAGGTTCTTTCCAGAGAATAACTGTGTTTCCAGCACTTGTCAGTGTTCATTCTTGAATATATGGTTAATTAATTGTGACTTGTGACATACAAGCAGATATACTGTCTCCTATGCTATTTTTGCTGGACAGCCAGAAAGCAATAGGCCATTAGCATGGCCACTTCACACAGAATACTTTTACTACTAAAGGTCAGTAAGAAATGAAAGAAAAAAATTCACTCCTGTAAATTCTGCAAAATCTACATTAAACTGTTCAGTCAAGTTGTTTGACAAGATACCTTACACATGTCCAAAATTCTTCTTAAAATTCTGAATACGGCTGGGCACAGTGGCTCATGCCTGTAAACCCAGCACCTTGGAAGGCCGAAGCAGGAGAACTGCTTGAGCCCAGACCAGGAGGTAGACACCAGCCTGGGCAACACAGCGAGACTCCATCTCATAAAAAAAAGAAAGAAAATTCTGGATCATGAAAAATATATTGCTCTCCTAGACAAACTCATGTTTCCTTTTTAATCAATGAGAAATACGGAACTGTTTTCTCTTCCACCTCAGAGGAAAATGCCTAATAAAGCAACACAAAGGGTTCTCAATGTCTCGTTCTCCTATCCTCTACTTAAGTAACAGCCTTCTAAATTTCTCCAACTAATCAACAACCAAGAATAAAAAACAATCACCATGTCTCGCACCCACCATCTTCCCCCCTCCCCCTACCCCCTCCCTCCAATCTTTCCTCTCCAGCTTTCCTACCTCCCTCCACCCAAAACCACCCTTAAAAAAAAAATCATGGCAAATCTCTAACCTACTCCACTATATAGTAATATTTGCTTACGTTATTTGAAAAAAATTTTTTTACATCAGATAGAATGCTTTTTTAACCTATATTGTTGAGTAAAATTAACACTAGGAAAATATGCCATGTTTATCCTATGACTTCAAGTACCACTTGGCAAGAAGCCAAAGAGCACTCAGAAATACACATAGACAGTTGGAACAATAAATCATATAACTGATGTCTGTCAACTGTTTTAATTTCATTTTATTAAAAATAATTTTTCTGTGTGATTTTATTGCATGTAACTTCGCTTTTTCATGAGACAGAGTCTCACTCTGTCACCCAAGCTGGACTGCAGTGGCACAATCACGGCTAACTGCAACCTCTGCCTCCCAGGTTTAAGTGATTTTCCTGCCTCAGCCTCCCAAGTAGCTAGGATTACAGGTGTGCGCCACCACATCCGGCTAATTTTTGTATTTCTTTCTCAGTAAAGACAGGGTTTCACCACGTTGGCCAGGCTGGTTTCAAACTCCTGACTCAGGTGATCCTTCGACCTCGGACTCCCAAAGTGCTGGGATTACAGGTGTGAGCCACCACATCCAGACACATATTGCTTTTCCTGAAGACCAACAAACAGATCTGAAGTGTGGTTACTCTGGCTAATGTTGATTATACAAGAAATCAACATTTCTTGGGCACAGTGGCTCCTGCCTGTAATCCTAGCACTTTGGAAGGCTGAGATAGGTGGATCACTTAAGTCCAGGAGTTCAAGGCCAGCCTGGACAACACAGTGAAACCTCATCTCAACAAAAAATATAAAACTTAGGCAGGTATGGTAGTACATACCTGTAGTCCCAGCTGAGGCAGAACGATCACTGGAGCCTGGGAATAGGAGGTTGCAGTGAGCAGAGATCACACCACCCCACACTCGAGCCTGGGTGACAGAGCAACACTCTGTCCTCACCCCAAAAAAAGCAAGCAAGCAAGCAAGAAATGCCAAGTCACCTTTCTTTATTTATAAAAATACGTAGTATAGTGATTTATTTCATTTTCAGAGTTTTTCAGTATAACATTTACAAATGCTACAAATTAAATGACCTCACAAACCGAAGACTAAACACAAGAAAACAGTGAGTCCTAACAAATCAGAACACTTTGAAGGTACTGAATCCATACCTTTAACTAGGTAGTATACAGTCATCACAGCAAGGCAAACCTGAAAATTCTTATTTCAAACATTTCTGGTTTTTTGAGGTTTTAGTGATGTGACAGGCAGTATTACTGATTTGAAATAAAATATAAAGATAATTTCCTTATGAAGCAGGGTAAGGATAGTAAGACTGACAGATAAGCAACTGTTAACAAATGTTAATTCCGTCCTTGCTTTAGGCAAGACACTGTCCTAGGTGCTGCGGAGGTACAAGATTAAAGAGACACAGCCCACAAACTTATCACCCTTTCTATTTGTAATCAGAGATGGGGGTTGAAAGAGGATATGGGAATGAGATGGGTAACAAAGGGCTGTGAAAGAGAGAGACATATAAACAATATTTACTAAAACAGCTACAAAGATCTGCTTTATACGGGAACAGAGGACTTAATTCTGTCTGAGAGAACTGAGGGTAGGCTGATAAAGTCTATATTAATCAAGGGACATGTTAATTATACGTATGGATAGAATTTCAACAGGGAGCTTGGATAGGGAACAAAGACATGAGATGCCAGCAAAGCAAAAAGGAAGATTGTGGAGGTACATGCAGTAGTATGTGCAGAGGAGGAAAGAAGGAAGTTAGAAAGGTGGACTGGAGCGAGCCTTGAATGTCATCCTAAAAATATGGGATTTATGCCGGGCACCATGGCTCACGCCTGTAATCCCAGCACTTTGGGAGGCCAAGGCAAGTGGATCACCTGAGGTCAGGAGTTCAAGACCAGCCTGGAAAACATGGAGAAATCCCACCTCTACTAAAAATATAAAAATGAGCCAAGGGTGGTGGCGGGTGCCTATAAACTCAGCTACTCGGTAGGCCAAAGCAGGAGAATCACTTGAACCCAGGAGGTGGAGGTTGCAGTGAGCCAAGATTTTGCCACTGCACTCCAGCCTGGGCGACAGAGCAAGATGGAGTCAGAAAAAAAAAAAAAGGGCGGCGGGGGGGTCTTTTTTCTGTAAGAAACCTAAAATCATTAAGGATGGGTCTCACATAATAAGCAAGAGTGTGATAAAGTTATACTTGTTTTAGAAATACAGGCAATGCTGGCTGGGCAGAGTGGCTTGCACGTAATCCCAGCACTTTGAGAGGCTGAGGCAGGCGGATCGCCTAAGGTTCAAGACCAGCCTCACCTACATAGTGAAAACAGAAAAAGTAGCTGAGCCGAGCCTGGTGGCAGGCGCCTGTAATCCCAGCTATTTGGGAGGCTGTGGAGGAAGAATCACTTGAATCTGGGAGTCGTGGAGGTTGCAGTGAGCTGAGGTCACGCCACTGCACTCCAGCCTGGGAAAGAGAGTGAGACTCCATCTAAAAAAAAAAACCACCAAAAAACAACCAAAAATCTACATTTGGCCAGGCATGGTGGCTCACACCTGTAATCCCAGCACTTTGGGAGGCCAAGGAAAGCAGATTACTTGAAGTCAGGAGTTCCAGACCAGCCTGGCCAACATGGTGAAACCCCATCTCTACTAAAAATACAAAAATTTGCTGAATGTGGTGGCGGATGCCTGTAACCCCAGCTACTCAGGAGGCTGAGGCAGGAGAATCACCTGAACACGGGAGGCAGAGGTTGCAGTAAGCCAAGATCACACCACTGCACTCTAGCCTGAACGACAGAGACACTCTGTGTCAAAAAAGAAAAAAACTACATTCATACACAGAAAAATGTCCAGAAGAACATACATCCAAACTATCTAGTGTTACTTATGATGATGGGATTATAGGTGGCATTTAATTGCTTATTTATACTCTGCTTCATTTTGTGGGCTTTTTGGGTTTGGTGTTTTTTTGGTTTTTTTTTTTTTTTTTTTTTTTTTTTTTTGAGACGGAGTCTTGCTCTGTCCCGCAGGCTGGAATGCAGTGGCCGGATCTCAGCTCACTGCAAGCTCCGCCTCCCGGGTTTACGCCATTCTCCTGCCTCAGCCTCCCGAGTAGCTGGGACTACAGGCACCCGCCACCACGCCCAGCTAGGTTTTTTTTTTTGTATTTTTTAGTAGAGACGGGGTTTCACCGTGTTAGCCAGGATGGTCTCGATCTCCTGACCTCATGATCCGCCCGTCTCCGCCTCCCAAAGTGCTGGGATTACAGGCTTGAGCCACCGTGCCCAGCTTTTTTTTTTTTTTTTTAACAAAGGACTTGGAGGGGACATGAAAGGTATTTCTTTTTTCTTTTTTGGCAGCAGGGAGACAGAGTTTCACTCTAGTTGCCCAGGCTGGAATACAATGGCTCGATCTCAACTCACTGCAACTCCACGTCTCCAGTTCAAGCGATTCTCCTGCCTCAGCCTCCGGGTTGCCGCGATTACAGACAACCTCCGGGTTGCTGCGATTACAGGCAACCGCCACAATGCTAGGCTAATTTTTTTGTATTTTTAGTAGAGACAGGGTTTTGCCACGTTCGCCAGGCTGGTCTCGAACTCCTGACCTCAGGTGATCCGCCTGCCCCTGCCTCCCAAAATGCTGGGATTACAGGCATGAGCCACCACGTCCAGCAGAAAGCGATTTCTTTCTTTCTTTCTTTTTTTTTGAGACGGAGTCTCGCTCTGTCACCCAGGCTGGAGTGCAGTGACCCAGGCTGGAGCACAGTGGCGTGATCTTGGCTCACTGCGAGCTCCGCCTCCTGGGTTCATGCCATTCTCTTGCCTCAGCCTCCCAAGTAGCTGGGACTACAGGCGCCTGCCACCATGCCCGGCTAATTTTTTCTATTTTTAGTAGAGACCGGCTTTCACTATGTTAGCCAGGATGGTCTTGATCTCCTGATCTCGTGATCCGCCGGTCTCGGCCTCCCAAAATGCTGGGATTACAGGCATGAGCCACCACGCCAGGCCCAGAAAGCAATTTCTATTTTGAAAGATAATAAAAATTTGATGACAGCGAAAGACACTTCTGGTTTTGTGTTGGGAGAAGGCAATAATAAATCTATTTTGCATTTGTTCAGCATGAGATGCCAAAAACGAAGTAAGAAGAGAAATGAATGAAATATATACTCAAGTTTTAGCTATGTTTCACTTTGTTGAGGGGGTGATAATGTGTACATTACAATACAATATACAACCATGTCCTTTATTTTAGCTTCACTTACTATAGCTTGAATAAATCCCCCAAGCTAAGGCAAGTAATCAGAGTTTCATTCATTTTAGAGTTGGTGTACTTCTAAAAGAGAGGGAAACTAAGAAAAATTGTGTAGGTTGAAATATATTTTGTACTTACTTACAAAGCTGCCTTAATGAATTAGCTCTGTTTGGAATAGTCTGTACCAGTGTTTTCTCTGGCAAGTTAACCTTGTCCAGCCTCCCTTACTACTTTCATCCCAACCTGGAACAAGCAAACCAACAGTCATCCACCCACTATGGGTAGATAAGACTTAAAATAACTACAAACTATCGAATACCCTCCGAAATTTAAGCCACAAGCACATACATGATGATCTTTAGAAGTCCCATATTAGATTCGTTTATAATGAGAAGCATTACACTGAAATAGCACAGCCTGGCCTAGAAAAGATACCCCGACAGAAAACATACCCCATTAGAAGCTTTCTTCTTCGCTTTCCATTCATCCAGCTGCGCCTTTGTCTTTGCATCAACTTTAACGAGTAGCTTTTTCTCTCCAATTTGCAGGTCATGTAATAATCTGAGTGCACGGAGAGTAGATTCTGGCTCCTTGTACTCACAGAATCCAAAGGCTAGCAATGGATGAAAACAATTAGTCAAATATCAATCCACTTACAAAAGAAAAAAAACTATGGAAAAGTAGAATTACTAGAGTCCAAATGTTTTAATACAAAGACCACTCAATTCATAATTCCACCCCTGTCCACAAATTCCTTTTGATAACCATTTCACTTTTAGTACCCTCAAACAACCAAAGGGGGAAAAAAGGGAAAAACAGAGGAGAGGAAGAAAAATTCAAATCAGACAAACTGATACTCATTAGAAGCTCTGATAAAATACTTCGCAGAGTCAATGAAATTCATGATTAAAGGGAGTCGATTATTTCATAAATTCACCCTATCTAGACTTCCAAACAGCCACAAATAAGAACAGACTACAGGAACATAAACAATGCACTTTTCAATTCTGAGATGTTAAATTACAGAATTAGTGATCTTGTATCCTAGTTACCAGTCTATTTTGCTTATATCTATTTCCTTTTATAACTAGTCAAACTCGCTATTAAGATGACTTTAACAGTTATTAAAACAAAATTATATCTAAGGGCAACCAACAAATTGAAAATAAAATCAAATAAATCTAAACATGTATATGATGACATGAAACAGAAAAAAACTACTGATATTAAAATAGTAAATTTGACTATAACATTTTCAGCATGCTATACCATAAAGACAAACAGATACGCCCCTCAAAAAAGTACCTTCAGGCCAGGCGCAGTGGCTCACACCTGTAATCCCAGCACTCTGGGAGACAGAGGCGGCCGGATTACCTGAGATCAGGAGTTCCAGACCAGCCTGGCCAACATGGTGAAACCCTGTCTCTACTAAAAATACAAGAACTAGCTGGGTGTGGTGGCGCATGCCTGTAGTCCCAGCTACTAGGGACTGCACTCTAGCCTGGGCAATAGAGAGAGATCCTGTCTCAAAAAAAGGAAAAGTAATTTAAAATGATCATATTGCTGGTGATAGTGCCAATGTTGTTAGTGTTAAACTGTTCTATGTGCAATGTGAGATAAAGCAACTCAGTAATTAATATTCTATCATCCCCAATGACCTTGAAACTCAGGGAACTCAGTGTGGGGAAAAAAGAGATACAGATATATGACAGAACAGGTTAAATAAAAACCTTTTAGTCCTTAATCTGAATTAGTATACACTGGAAAAACCTAAAAGCAAACACCAAATCACTGCTTTTAAATTTTTTTTAGACGGAGTCTCATTCTGTCGCCAGGCTGGAGTGTAGTGGTGCGATCTCAGCTCACTGCAAACTCTGCCTCCTGGGTTGAAGCAATTCTCCTGCCTCAGCTTCCTGAGTAGCTCAGACTACAGGCGCGCGCCACCACATCCAGCTAATTTCTGTATTTTTAGTAGAGATGAGGTTTCACCATGTTGGCCAGGATGGTCTTGATCTCCTGACCCGCCTGCCTCAGTCTCCCAAAGTGCCGGGATTACAAGCATGAGCCACCATGCTCATCCCAAACCACTGTTAATACGAGTGCACCTTGTGCCCAGATCGTGATCTTCAAAACAATTTCCCCTGGAGAAATGGCTGATTCTAAGTCTGGGGCCAAAAAACTATTATACTAGATGACCTTGGAACAAACTGTCATACCAGATAACAAAGCAGCTGTCAAAGGCGTTCAGAGTCATGTCAAAACCACTGGAGATGTATAAAGTGCAGAGACAATTTAAGTTAAGTTTTAATGGTGATAATAACTACAAGGAATCCACATTAAATACAGTAACACTAAATATGCTTCAATTCGTAAGTTCACAATAATTTAAAAGAAAAAAGAAAATCAGTTACTGCTAGAGAATGCTGAGGATACCAACTCATTGTTTTAAGAAAGAAAGCCAGGGCATTTATCCTGCCTTTTCTGTATTAAATATGCCTCTATGCCAGGCGTGGTGGCTCAAGCCTCTAATCCCAGCACTTTGGGAGACTGAGGTGGATGGATCACCTGAAGTCACGTGTTCAAGACTTCCCTGGCAAACATGGCAAAATCCCGCCTCTACTAAAAAAAACAAAAAATTAACCAGGCGTGGTGGTGGGCGCCTGTAACCCCGGCTACTCAGGAGGCTGAGGCAAGAGAATCTTGAACCCAGGAGGCGGAGGTTGCAGTGAGCTGAGATGGTGCCATTGCACTCCAGCGTGGGCAACAAGAGCAAAAAACTCCATCTCAAGAACAACAAAAATGCCTCTAAGTTACCAAATAGTAGATGCAGGGGCAACTTTCTCCATAGAGAAGCATTCTACTAATACATGAAAAAGATTTGTTCCTCAATGAAAGAATGACAGAATTCTTCAAAACATACTACTGATGAGGCCGGGAGCAGTGGCTCACACCTGTAATTCCAGCACTTTGGGAGGCCAAGGCGGGCAGATCATGAGGTCAGGAGATTGAGACCATCCTAGCCAACATGGTAAAACCCCGTCTCTATTAAAGATACAAAAATTAGCTGGGTGTGGTAGCACGTGCTTGTAATCCTAGCTACTCAGGAGGCTGAGGCAGGAGAATTGTTTGAACCAGGGAGTCTGAGGTTGCAGTGAGCCAAGATCGCGCCACTGCACTCCAGCCTGGCAACAAAAGACTCTGTCTCAAAAACAAAAACAGAAGACTACTAATGAATTACTTCCTAATGAATTAATCAATCTAGGCACTGGCAACACTGATGCTATTACATACACAAAAAAGACAATCTCATATGTGTTCCCTGATGGAAGAACACTACCTTTATAGTATTCTGGCTATAAGGTGCTAGAATAAAAGCACAAAAAAATAAATAAAAATAGCGGCTGGGAGCAGTGGCTCATGCCTGTAATCTCAGTACTTTGGGAGGCTGAGATGGGCGGATCATGAGGTCAGCAGCTCAAGACCAGCCTGACCAATATGGTGAAACCCCGTCTCTACTAAAAATATAAAAACTAACCGGGCAAGGTGGCGGGTGCCTGTAATCCCAGCTATGCAGGAGGCTGAGGCAGGAGAATCGCTTGAACCCAGGAGGCGGAGGTTGTAGTGAGCCAAGATCGTGCCACTGCACCCCAGCCTGGGCAACAGAGCAAGACTGCTTTTCAAATAACATAGTAGCCGGGAGCGGTGGCTCGTGCCTCTAATCTCAGCACTTTGGGAGGCCGAGGCAGGCAGATGACCTGAGGTTGGGAGTTCGAGACCAGCCTGACCAATAAGGAGACACCCCATCTCTACTAAAAATAAAAAATTAGCCGGACATGCTGGCACATGCCTATAATCCCAGCTTCTCGGGAGGCTGAGGCCAGAGAACTGCTTAAAACCAGGAGGTGGAAGTTACAGTGAGCCGAGATCGTACCATTGCACTCCAGCCTGGGCAAGAAGAGCAAAACTCCGTCTCCAAAAAAAAAAAAAACCAAAACACCACACAACACACATCAAGTACAACTACTGACCACTTTACAGAAAATACAGAGGATAGATTAATGGCAAATTATAGTACTGGAGCTGCATTCAGCAAAACTCGACTTAAAAAATACTATTGAAAAATGACCCAGTTTCTTCAACAAATAAACTGCAAGGAAATGAGAAATAGGATAATTTAAAATATTAAGAGTATGGTCAGTTAGCTCAGTTGGTTAGAGGATGGTGCTAATAATAAAATATTAGGAGACTTAAAACAAATTGCCAACTAGTTGCAATGTGTGGACTTCATATAGATCCTGAATCAAATGAACTATTTAAAAAATTGACATTTGAGGCCAGGTATGGTGGCTCCTGCCTGTAATCCCAGCATTTTAGAAGGTCAAGTTGGGTGGATCATCTGAGGTCAGGAGTTTGAGACCAGCCAGGCCAACACAGTGAAACTCCCTCTCTACTAAAAATACAAAAAGAAGCCAGGCATGGTGGCGCACACCTGTAATCCCAGCTACTCAGGAGGCTGAAGCAGGAGAACTGCTCCAACCCAGAAGGCAGAGGATGCAGTGAGCCAAGATCACACCACTGTACTCCATCCTGGGTGACAGAGTGAGAGTAGGTCTCAAAAGAAAAAAAAAAAAAAAGTTAACAAGCTATGATTGTCTCTTCTTCTTCTCCCTTACTAACACTAACTTCTAATTGTTCCATCTTGATCATGCAGTCATTTCTTGAGACAAGAGACTTTTGAAAGCACAAGAAACCAGTTAAATTGAGCAATTTTAATTTTTTCCTTTCCTGTTACCTTTTTCCTCCTTCAGATCTCAATTCTCAGCCAATATTTTCCCAAACTGCCTTTTAACCCTATTTCAATAAAAAAGAGCACAAAGAGTGCTAATAAAATAAGTCTCACCAATAAAGACAATGAGAGTAAGTCATTCAAAGTGATGTAAGCATACAGTTTGTTAAAGTGATTTCAGCAAATAAGGAAAAAAATGACATACCTTGAAGCTTTCCGGAAGCACCTTGTACTCTCTTCCAGCTCAAAACCAAACCACATTTCTTAAAAAGAAAACAAAACAAAAAGGTTGCTACCATTTAACAAAATAATTTTTAATGTAACTAAAAGCAAAATTATATTTCTACTAGGGGTAAAAAGCATAAAATAAAAAACCAGCAACTACATTTGTGAAAATGTTTGCAATTCCCACAAACCTATCACATGAAAGAAATCAACAACAAATCATTTAAAGAAAAATGTAAATTCTTACTGATTTTTCATTTGCAGAACACTGTTTACCTTTTATTAAATTAAAAGTTTTGCATCACTACTTATCCTAACAAAATAAACACATAAACCTAAATGCCTAAAAGTAGAATGGTTAAAACAAACTCTAATAAATTTAAGTAAATATTATGAACCTAGAAAGAAACGTTTTGAAACAAAATGTATGTATTTATAAAGGATTTTTTTTTCTTTTGAGATGGAGTCTTGCCCTGTTACCCAGGCTGGAGTGCAGTGGCACGATCTCGGCTCACTGCAACCTCCACCTCCCACGTTCAAGCGATTCTTCTGCCTCAGCCTCCTGAGTAGCTGGGACTACAGGGATGCACCACCACACTTGGCTTTTTTTTTTTTTTTTAAGTAGAGATGGGTTTCACCATATTAGCCAGGCTGGTCTCGAACTCCTGACCTCGTGATCCACCCGCCTAAGCCTCCCAAAGTGCTGGCATTACAGGCGTGAGCCACTGCGCCCAGTCATCAAAGATTTTTAACATGGGAAAACGCTTGATACAGTATGCAAAAATAACTTGGGAAAAGAAAATGCAAATACACAAGACTTTAACTATAAACAAAAACAACTTTCTGTAAAATAAAGAGAAATATTCCAAAATGTGAAGGAGGGCAGGTTATCTGAAGGTGGACACTATTATACTTTAAAAATAAAAGCAGCCAGGTGTGGCTCATGTCTATAATGCCAACACTCTGGGAGGCTGATGTGGAAGGATTGCTTGAGCACAGGAGTTCAAGACTAGCCTGGGCAACATAGGGAGACACCGTTTCTACAAAAATTAAAAAATTAGGAAGGCGTGGTGGCACACACCAGTGGTCCCAGCTACTCAGGAGGATGAGGCAGATAGATGGCTTGAGCCCAGGAAATCGAGGCTGCAGTGAGCTGTAATCATGCCAATTGCACTCCAGCCTGAGCAACAGAACAAGACTGTCTTAAAAAAGAAAAATAAAATAAGGTTCCACCCGGTTAAAAAAAGACAGAGAGAGGGTGTAGGTGAGAAATCTTCAGAGAACAAGAGAAAACCAATGGAAACTTGAAACACAGCATTAAAAATAAATACTTCAATGGAAATCTGGAAGGTAAAGTTAAGGACAAATCCCAAGAACCCGTACAAAAGAGTAAGAGATGGAAAACAGGAAATCAAAAACACATAGGTCAAACCTGTAAGTTCAACATCCAGAGTTCCTGAAGAAAGACAGTAAAAACAATTCTCAAATAGCCCAAAAATTTCTCCTGAAAAAAATCTCCAGAACGAAGTGGCCCACCAAGTAAGTGACTAACACAATGATATAAGAAAAGTAAGAAAATCAAATAAACATTCGAAGAATTTCACACAATTAGGAAAACCTCCAATCAGTCAAATCCACACTAGTAGAGGCATTCCAGGGAAAAACAGGTCACATACAAAGAACATTCTGAATGATACGGGACTTCTGAAAACCATCATTAGATGCTATAACACCATAAGGCAACACCTTCAATGTGAGGAAAATAAGCTTCAACATAGAATTCTATATCCAGGTAAACTACTGACCACATGAATAATCAAAATAAAAAGCACTTCAGATTTAGATTCAGAAAAGTTACCAACCACACACCTATAAATACCATGTACATCGTATATAAAGGATGTATCATCCCAGCATAACAGGAGCTACTATGTGTCGGCACAAGCAAGATATAGGATCCAAACCATCCAACTCAGGAGAGCAGTAAGGAGAATACTAGAAAAGACAGAAAAACTCCAAGGATAAAAGTAGACTTAGAGGAACCAGAACACATGAGACGAACAAAGGGACCTGACAGGAGGGGCTCTAGAAAAGAAGGGAAAAGAATCCCAACACTTTGGGAAGCCCAGGTGGGTAGATCACTTGAGGTCAAAAGCTCGAGACCAGTCTGGCCAACATGGTGAAACCCCGTCTCTACTAAAAATACAAAAATTAGCCGGACGTGGTGGCAGGTGCCTGTAATCCCAGCTACTCAGGAGGCTGAGGCAGAAGAGTCACTGACCCAGGAGGTGGAGGTTGCAGTGAGCAGAGATTGCACCACTGCACTCCAGTCTGGGCAACAGAGCTAGACTCTGTCTCAAAAATAAAATATTAAACAAGAAAATGGACTAGGCACAGTGGCTCATGCATGTAATCCCAGCACTTTGGGAGGCTGAGGCAGGCAGATCACTGGAGGTCAGCAGTTCCAGACCAGCCTGGCAAACATGGTGAAACCCCGTCTCTACCGAAAATGCAAACATTAGCTAGGTATGGTAGCAGGGGTCCATAATCCCAGCTACTTGGGAGGCTGAGGCAGGAGACTTGCTCGAACCCTGGATGGCAAGGTTGCAGTGAGCTGAGATCATGCCACTGCACTCCAGCCTGGATAACAGAGTGAGACTCCATCTCAAAAAAAAAGAAAAGAAAAGAAAGAAAATGCAATCAGAGCACATGACCTAGTTCTGCTAAAACTATTTACATCATAACACTTATTAACATAACAAGTTCACCATCTTGTAACACCTGTAAGGAAGCCGGGGAAGGGAGATTGAGGCCTTTAATAGTTTAGGCCTCAAGCTACTATGTCAACAGATAATACCAAAATTATGTAGAAAGAACAATAAAAAAGGCATATTTAAATAGGAATAAGGTACTTCACAACACAATGTAAAAGTCTAAATAAACCCCCACTTTAAAAAAGATGTATAAGAATAGAAACTTGGACATAACACTGCTGCAGTAAGTATAAATAAATTGGTGTGGAATTATTTTGTAAAGCTGCAGATAAGTATGCCCTAAGACTCAGAAACTGCACTTCTATGAGAATACGTGATGAGAATCTTTACACATACACCTAGGGAGAAAACATTAGCGGTAATAACATTGCAAAACAGAGACTTCCAGAAGCAGACAGGAGCAAACACATTTCTATACTCCAGTACCTTCTGACTTTCCTGAATTCCATCAGAGCAGAGTTAGTGCTAGTTCTCTGCAGACCCCAGATTAGGCCTTATGGCTGCAGTGAAAAGAACCCCAGGAGAAAACTCAGGAATGAAAACGGAGTCGGGCTTCAGACTGAAATTACCAAAAATCCCATGGAAGTAAAGGAAGAAAATGAAACTGAGAAACCTGAAACATCCTCAGACCAGTTAATTAAAACTGAGAGAGTGCCCAGGAGATCCAGTTTTCTAAAAGAACAGGAATTTCTTAAATATGAAGAGCTGAAGCAAGAATCATGAATGGTATAAAATAATTGCCCAGCATCTCAGAGGGGCATAAGAAGAGAAGGCAACAATACTTCCAGAGGATGACAAGACTGCAGGACTCACACTGAACTACTCATGAGCTGAACCACAGGTTGATAACCCTGGCCCTGTCCTTACAGAGAACCTACACAAGACTCTGGGATATAGATGAAGAATGACGTATTTGCAAGTCCTCTCAGTGCAGAATATAGTCATTCTTCCAAACTCCTTTCTTTGTGCATGAGACAAAGTCTAACTTTGTCGCCCAGGCTGGAGTGCAGTGGCGCCATCTCAGCTCACTGCAACCTCCGCCTCCCAGGTTCAAATGATTCCCCTGCCTCAGCCTCCCTAGTAGTTGGGATTGCAGGCACCCACAACACGCCCGGCTAATTTTTGTATTTTTAGTAGAGATGGTGTTTCACCATGTTGGTCAGGCTGGTCTCAAACTCCTGACCTCAAGTGATCCGCTCGCCTTGGCCCCCGCAAAGTGCTGAGATTACAGGTGTGACCCACCGCACCCTGGCCTTATTTTATTATACAATCATTCAGCATTATTTCACTTAACAATGTACATTTATCATCAAGATAAAATCTTTTTTCTGAGACGGAGTCTCGCTCTGTCGCCCAGGCTGGAGTGCAGTGGCGTGATTCGCTCGCTGCAAGCTCTGCCGCCTCCCGGGTTCACGCCATTCTCCTGCCTCAGCCTCCCGAAAAGCTGGGACTACAGGCACCTGCCACCACATAGGGCTAATTTTTTTTTTTTTTTCTGTATTTTTAGTAGAGACAGGGTTTCACCATGTTTGCCAGGATGGTCTCGATCTCCTGACCTCGTAATCTGCCTGCCTCGGCCTTCCAAAGTGCTGGGATTACAGGCATGAGCCACCGTGCCCGGCCATCAAGATAAAATCTTAAAAACTAAGGTTAAAAAAGTGAATCAACAAGTTTATCAAATTTAAACAACTTATTAGTATTCAAGCTCAGAATAAAACTTTAAAAGGAATCAGTCAATCATCATTGGATGCTAAAATCATTGTTTAAGGTCGCTGGGGAAAAGGACTCACAGTCTCAAAATATTAACCCACGCCAGGTGTGGTGGCCCATGCATGTAATCTCAACACTTTGGGAAGTCAAAGCAGGCGATTTGCTTGAGGCCAGGAGTTCAAGACAAGTCTGGGCAACATGGCAAAACCTTGTCTATACAAAAAACACAAAAATGAGCCAGGTGTCATGGCACATGACTGTAATCTCAGCTACTCGGGAGGCCGAGGCATGAGAATCGCTTAAATACAGGAGGCAGATTTTGCACTGAGCCGAGATCTCACTGCATTCAGCCTGTGTGACAGAGCAAATCTGTCTCAAAAGTAAATAAAAATCTTTCATTGGATCATGGATGAAAAATAAAACAACTATTAATATTATGGCCATTACTGGGAAAATTAAATATGAACTACATGTGTATTAGTTAATAATACTACATCAATTTTGTATTTTTTTTTTGTTTTAGAGACTCTCTTGCTCAGACTGGAGTGTAATTACAAGATCATAGCTTACTGCAGCGCTGAACTCCTAGACTCAAGCAATCCTCCCACCTCGGATTCTGAACAGCTAGGACTACAGGCGTATATCACCACACCTGGCTTTTTATTTTTATTTTTTAATTATTATCATTATTTTTTTGAGATGGAGTCTCACTCTGTCGCCCAAGGTGGAGCGCAGTGGCGCGACCTCAGCTCACTGCAGCCTCCATCTCACGGGTTCAAGGGATTCTCCTGCTTCAGCCACCCAAGTAGCTGGGATTACAGGCACACGCCACCACACCTGGCTAATTTTTGTATTTTTTGTAAAGATGGGGTCTCACCATGTTGGTCAGGCTGGTCTCGAACTCCTGACCACAAATGATCCACCCACCTCAGCCTCCTGAAGTGCTGGGATTACAGGCATGAGCCACTGCATCTGGCGCTATTATATTTTACTTTTTGTAAAGATGTGTCTCGGTATGTTGCCCAGGCTGGTCTCGAACTCCTAGCTTCAAGAGATCCTCCTGCCTCAGCCTCACAAAGGACTGGGATTACAACTACAAGCAAAAGCCACTGCACCAGGCCAAATTTCATGTGATAGTGGCATTGTGATTATGTCGCAGAATGTCCTTGCCCTTAGGAGATAAATGAAGGATTCACAGGTAAAATGTCATGTCACAATTTACTTCCAAATTATCCAAGAAAAAAGTGTGTGTGGTACACATGTGTACATAAAGTATCTAAACATGTTCACTGATGAATCTAGGAAAAGAATACAAATGTGTTCACTGTACTACTTTCACCTTTGCTGCAGGATTGAATTTTTTATAATAAAAAGCAATCACTGAAAGTCCTCTTTCTGCTTAAGTTTGAAATGTAGAATGATAAAAAATTTTTTAATGAAAAATAAACAGTTTAACTTACAGCTAAGAGTTGTCTTATAAGCATGTCTGAGGCTTTCTCGGAAATGTTGCCAACAAAAACAGTAGTAGTAGGACCACAATTTTCATCATTTTCTTTAGCCTTTAAGCCTGGATGATCCTTTCTTGCGCCCAAATGCTTTCCAACCATAGACACAGTGGGTACTAAGACCTAAGGTGAAGAAACAAAATAAAAATTGATTCAGCAATTAAATTTCCTACCCCAATTAACATTAGGCTAAAAACATCAGGATTAAATCAATATATATAGCACATTATTTAACCTCTGCATGCTTGTATACTTCTAAAACTCCTACAGTGCATAGCACATTTCATTAATGCAAACTTATTTGTGACAAATAAACCTCTACTACTAGATTACCTTTCTTCTTAAAAAAGAAACAAAAATAACCAAGAAAACTTTGTTATGTTTAAGACATAATTTTTATTTTTATTTTCTGAAATGGAATCTCGCTCTGTCGCCCAGGTTGGAGTGCAGTGGCATAATAGCTCATTGCAACCTCCGCCTCCTGGGTTCAAGGGACTCTCCTGCCTCGGCCTCCCAAGTAGCTGGGATTACAGATGTGTGCCACCATGCCTAGATAATTTTTTGGATTTTTAGTAGAGACAGGGTTTCACCAGCTTGGCGAGGATGGTCTTGAACTCCTGGTCTCAGGTGATCCTGGCCTATGTCTTAAACATTTAAAATTTATGCCTTAGGCCAAGTGTGGTGGCTTATGTCTGTAATCTCAGAACTTTGGGAGGTCAAGGCAGATGGATCACCTGAGGCCAGTCTGACCAACAAAGTGAAACCCCGTCTCTACTAAAAATATAAAAAATTGGCCAGGCATGGTGGCGCACACCTGTAAGCTCAGCTACTCGGGAGGCTGAGGCAGGGGAATCGCTGAACCCAGGAGGCGGAGGATGTAGTGAGCCATGCCACCATTGCACTCCAGCCTAGGCAACAAGAAACTCCGCCCCACTGCCCCACCGCCCCCCACCCAACAAAAAAATACATAAAACATTTAAAATTATCAAATATATCCAGAAGTTTTTTTCATAATTTTACTCTCAGTACTAATATAAAAGCAACTTTCAATTATCCATGCTAATCCTCTAGCAGAATATTCAAATACTCCACAGCACTCTCCCTCATATTTTGCCTTTTATCAGTTATTTATGCTATCTTATTTTCCCTTCACGACGTTCAACTTTCCCGGGGAAGAAACACATCTTTGTACTTGACACTGAATTCAGCAAGCACCCTCAGGAGGCACCGAATAAACAGTGGTGAAATGGGAGAGGTGCTCCACTCCTAAATTCTAGCTTTCTCTAGCCTGAAATACAAGGAGGAAGAGTACATGCCTGAGGCTTTCAAACATGGTCCAACTCTTGGTGTCCAAGGCAAGAAAAGCTGAACTCCCCTTTGGCTGCAGAACCACATCTTCTTAGTGGTCGGCCTCACAGCAGGTTCTCATTTGCCCACGTAATTCCTCTCTCCCTTTTACCAAGAATAACACTCCTCATCCCTTTTCAAAACCCAGATATTAAAAGACACTGAAAATAAAGAGACCTACCCTCCCTCACAGAATTCCAAATAAAAGAGAGTTATTATCTATTCATGTGCTACAGTACAGCAGCATTCTTAACAAAGGTGCTTGCAGTGCTCAGAAGATTTGATGAATGTGGAGAATTAAGGTTCTCCACATTAAATTAAGGTTCAAGAAGAAAATAATGAATGAGAGCATTTCAGCAGAAGAAAGGTTTTAGTAAAGTCTTACAAAGCTTGAACATACCACACTAAAGGACAGAGAAAACTAAGATAAAAATCGCTTGGAAAGGGCGAAAAATTAGGAAGCTAGGAGGAAACGTGTAAAAGGTACTCCACACAAATTTCATTTCAAAATTTTAATTTTTACAAGGATCATTCCTATGTTCTTTTAAGAGATCAGATATGTCACATCCTTTTCCCATCTCCCAGGACCAAGATGAGAAAGCAATGAAGAGCCAAAGCCCTAAATCTGTAATAACAAGTATATGAAGAGTCTAGAAAATAACAGGAAAATCACAGAATTATCTACTTAGGGAGCACATTGCAGGTGCAACTGCATATATGCACACCTAAGTGAAAATGATACTTATTCAAATAAATGATATGGTATACAGGGGTGCTCTCATTCTGTCCTTGTTATTCTTTTAAATACTCATAATGTATTTAAGTTTATCACACTGTTTAGCTTAAAAGCACTAGCACTACCATAACTCATGACTCTTCCTTTAAGTTATACTTACAGTTGGAGCAGGAGCCATAATGCTCATTGGTACAGGAATCATTGGGGTCCCTAAGAAAAGAAAAACCACACTGATTTTATATGACTGCATTCTCTAACAACAACATGCCACACAATTAAGTATCCTTACTCATAATTAACATAAGTGGAAATATAGGACAAATGAAAATGAAATACTGATAAATACTACCTTATTTTCAAAAGGAATGCGCTATCAGGTTGGTCCATATAAACTTACAAAAAAAGACTATTCTGAAAACAAACTGGCCACCTCAATATGCTTTTGACTTAAAGAGCATAAAATTCTGGACAGTTATCCATTTGGGTTCATATGGTTCAGTGATCCTCAAAACCAACGCCTTTCACCAATACAGACTGACTTATAGGTGAACAATGATACTAAAGAATCCTTTAAAAGTAAAAACAGCCAGCGTGGTGGCTCACGTCTGTAGTTCCAACTCTTAGGAGGGCACAGGTGGGAGGATAGATTAAGCTCAGGAGATCGAGACCTGCCTGGGCAATATAGTGAGACCCCATTTTCCACAAAAAGGAAAAAAAAAAAAAAAGACCAAAAAAAAAGTAAGACACATGGTACAACATGGTGATACAGTCAGTAATGGTGTACTATATTCTTGAAAATGACCAAAAGAAAATCTACACTTAAAATCTAGAGTGTTCTCACAATAGCAAAAAAAAAAGTATGTAAAGTAATACACCACGTGTTAATTAGCTCAATTTAGTCATTCTACAACATATACGTTATTTCAAGACGCTGTGCACGATAAACATAAATTTTTCTCAAATAAATAAAGTAAAAACAAATCCTTTGAAAGTTATTTTAAGCATCAAATGAAAAATTTATGTGGAAATCTAAGGAGAATCCTGGTTCTTTCACAGAAAACAAAAATCATGGGCTGGGCACAGTGGCTCACGCCTGTAACCCCAGCACTTTGGGAGGCAAAGATGAGTAAATCACCTGAGGTCAGGCGTTTAAGACCAGCCTGACCAACATGGTGAAGCCCCATTTCTACTAAAAATACAAAAATTAGCCAGGCATACTGGTGCGTGCCTGTAATCCCAGCTACTTGCAAGGCTGAGGCAGGAGAATTGCTTGAACTTGGGAGGCAGAGGTTGCAGTGAGCCGAGATCACGCCATTGCACTCCAGCCTGGGGAACAAGTGCAAGACTCTGTCCCAAAAATAATAATAATAAATAAAATCATGCTTGTAGTTATAGCTACTCTGGAAATTGAGGCACAAGGATCCCTGAGCCCAGGAGTTCAAGGCTGCAGTGTGCTATCATCTTGCCTGTGTATAACCACTGCACTCCAGCCTAGGAAACATAGCAAAACTCTAATTCTTTACTAAAAAAAAAAAAAGGCGAGGCCGGGCACGGTGGCTCAAGCCTGTAATCCCAGCACTTTGGGAGGCCAAGACGGGCGGATCACGAGGTCAGGAGATCGAGACCATCCTGGCTAACACAGTGAAACCCCGTTTCTACTAAAAAACACAAAAAACAGCCAGGCGAGGTGGCAGGCGCCTGTAGTCCCAGCTACTCGGGAGGCTGAGGCAGGAGAATGGCGTAAACTCGGGAGGCGGAGCTTGCAGTGAGCTGAGATCCGGCCACTGCACTCCAGCCTGGACGACAGCGCGAGACTCCGTCCCAAAAAAAAAAAAAAAAAAAAAATGCAGACAGTAGGGCGACACGGTAGCTCACACCCATAATCCAAACACTTTGGGAGGCCAAGACAGGCAGATCACTTGAGCCAACATGGCAAAACCCCATCTCTACAGAAAATACAAACATTAGCCAAGCATGGTGGCACACACTCATAACCCCAGTTATTAGGGAGATTGAGTCAGGAGAATCACTTGAACCCAGGAGGCGGAGGCTGCAGTGAGCTGTAATGGCGCCACTGTACTCCAGCGACAGAGTAAGACTCTCTCAAAAAAAGCCAAAAAAAAAATTCAAAAATTTAAAATCTTTTCTATAAACCCAATCTACTGCTAAGGAAATTAAAGCACAAATTCTCCATAACCATCCTTTCTGATTCTAAACAAGTGATTAAGCTTCCTGCCACCCCCCACCTCCGCACAAGACAGGGTCTTTCTTCCCTATGTTGTACAGGTTGATCTTGAACTTCTGGGTTCAAGAGATCCTCCTGCCTCAGCCTCCCAAAGTGATGGGATTACAGGTATGAGCCACCATGCCCAGCCTGTAACTTCTACAACACTTGGGCTTTGCATCATGGTTATAGCAAGGCCCACTGAAAAACGGATCTGAGTCAGGCATGGTGGCACACATCTATAGTCTCAGCTACTCAGGAGGCTGAGGCAGGAGGATCAGCTGAGCCCAGGAGATAGAGGCCGCATTAAGTTACGGTTGTGCCACTGTACTCCCAGCCTGGGAGACAAAGAGAGATCCTGTCTCAAAAAAATTAATAAATAAAAAATTAAAATCCATATCTGCACTATGAGCCTATAAATGTATGAAGAAAATCAGGATATATGGACCAAAGAGAAAACTGATGCCCAAATGAAAGTTGTTCAAAACACTTTCCTTCTATAACTATTAATCTGTTTGATGGCTGATAACTAACTTTATTCAGTTTTCTGCAACATTCTCTCAATTTTCTCAACAGAATTTCCTTTCAGCAAAATTTATTTCTTTTAAGGAAAAAATTTTGTCCAAAGGACCAGCCAGAGCCTTCCAACAGAATTTCATCTATTTATGGTCCATTATAAAACAACTAAGTTACTACTTAAAATCAGTAATTGTTACATGGAGTAAAGTAGTAGTGTAAACTTTCACATTACTCCTCTGGCAGCAGATGATAACAAATACATATCCATGACTATCTGGAAGCACAGCTTAAAGCAGCTCCACTACAAGCATGTCTAAAATAACATATGAAAGTACTGCATTCTGTTCCATAATACATACATAAATAGTTGTTCTGATTTTTTCCCCTTTTTGAGACAAGTGTCACTCTTGTTGCCCAGGATGGAGAGCAGTGACATGATCTCGGCTCACTGTAACCTCCGCTTCCCAGGTTCAAGCGATTCTCCTGCCTCAGCCTCCTGAGTAGCTGGGATTACAGGCCTGAGCCACCGCACCTGGCTAATTTTTTGTATTTTTAGCATTTCCCCATGTTGGCCAGACTGGTCTCGAACTCCTGACCTCAGGTGATCCATCCACCTTGGCCTCCTAAAGTGCTGAGGTTACAGGCGTGAGCCACTGTGCCAGGCCTGATTTTTTTTAAATTATGATTTTCCCCCAATTCTTTAAGTGTTAAATAATATTCCACAGAAATTCTCATATTTATCTTGTGGCTTTTCAGACCCAAGGGTAGAAGGCTCCCAAAGCTGAGCCTATGGTAGTAAATTCAAAATTTTACAATGAGTAGTTAAATCCAAAATAAAGATAAGGTCAGGTGCAGTGGCTCACATCTGTAATCCCAGAACTTTGGAAGGCTGAGGTGGGAGTATACCTTGAGCCCAGAAGTTCAAGACCAGCCTGGATAAGATGGTCAGACCCCCATCTTTATAAATTTTTTTTTTTTTAATTTTTAATTAACAGTATATAGTGACACAAGCCTGTGGTCCCAGCTACTCAGGAGGGCTGAGATGGGAGCCCAGGAGGTCAAGGCTGCAGTGAGCCATGATCACGCCACTGTACTCCAGTCTGGCAACAAAGTGAGGCCTCAAAACACACATGTGCACACACACAAAATAAAGACAAATGTGCTGTTTATTACAACCCCCGTAACATACATGCTATGAATTAACAACCCATTATGAGCCAGCCAACTGCAATGTTCTTAAGTCAAAAGAAAAATTTCTTATAAGCAAAGATAATCGTTTTTTCAAAGATGAGGTCTCACTCTTCGGACTTGAACTCCTGGGCTCAGGCCATCCTCCCACCTCAGTCTCCTGAGTAGCCAGGACAACAGACACACACAATCACACCCAGCATAAGCAATGTTAACTATGTACTTCAGGATAATGGTTCTCAAATGTGGATTCTCCATGCTTAAATGAGTGCCAAAAATTACCTGTGAACTTGTTAAAAATTAAGATTCCTGAGCCCCAATTTCTGAGGATCTGATTCAGGGGGTTGGAGCAGGGTCTGAACATTTTTTTTTTAACTCCATAAATCTTTACTTATATTGACTTATAATATACACTTTAAAGTATCTGGAAAAATAAAGAAAAAACTAATAACCTTATTGCTTCCCTTTTTAATAAGGGGATAGCAACAGCAGTTATGGGGGTATATGAAGAAAATTTTTCACTGTATTACTTTCTGTATTTTTTGTTTGTTTGTTTTTGAACAATGTGTATGTATTACCCATTTTTTTTAATATAGAATTTTTAGGCCGGACATAGTAGCTCACACCTGTAATTCCAACACTTTGGGAGGCAGAGGCAGGCAGATCATTTGAGGCCAGGAGTTCGAGACCAGCCTGGCCAACATAGTGAAACCCTGTCTCTACCAAAAATACAAAACTTAGCCAGGCATGATGGCAGGCATGTGTAACCCCAGCTACTCAGGAGGCTGAGGCAGAGAATTGCTTGAGCCTAGGAGGTGGAGGTTGCAGTGACCTGAGATCATGCCACTGCACTCCAGCCAGGGTGACAGAGCAAGACTCTATCTCAAAAAATAAAAAAAAAAGAATTTTAAAAAAACTTTCCAGATGAGGGAAAAAAAAAAAACTTTGTAGATGAGTTTGATCCTCAGTCAGATATAAAAGCTACTGCTATAGGAAAAAGAGACATCCACATTTTCCAAACGATGCTGAGAGGCATCTTCACTAACAGTCACATATCTAACATTTTCCTGAAGTTAACATCACAAAGACAAAAGTACAAGTTTAACGACAAAAAACAGTATCAACAAACTTACCTGGAGGTACAGGTGGAGGAAATCCTGGAAACTGCGGGGGTGGGATCCCTGGTGGGAGTGCTGGGATTCCCATGGGAGGGCGATTCAAATGAGGGGGAAAAGACATTCTTACGGCAGCAGTCTAAAGAAAAAAGGACAAATCATTTTATTTGAAAACTTCACAATGTTATATGCCTTCTTTGCTGACTTTCATTTTTAGAGTATCTACAAAATTCTGAACTTTTCTTACCCAAAGAAGTTGGCAAAGACCCTGTTTTCTGTCTGTTCATCGAGAATTCTTACAACTTCAATTTTTTCTAAAATAAGTTTCCAAAATGTACATGATCCAAGTTCAGGATAGACTCCTACAATCATGTAGGAATACATATAAAGGAAGAAAAGCCGGGCGCGGTGGCTCAAGCCTGTAATCCCAGCACTTTGGGAGGCCGAGACGGGCGGATCACGAGGTCAGGAGTTCGAGACCATCCTGGCTAACACGGTGAAACCCCATATCTACTAAAAAAATACAAAAAACTAGCCGGGCGAGGTGGCTGGCGCCTGTAGTCCCAGCTACTCGGGAGGCTGAGGCAGGAGAATGGCCTAAACCCGGGAGGTGGAGCTTGCAGTGAGCTGAGATCCGGCCACTGCACTCCAGCCCGGGCGACAGGCGAGACTCCGTCTCAAAAAAAAAAAAAAAAAAAAAAAGGAAGAAAAAAATTTTCAGGTTCAGTTAATATCCAAAAATTAAATACCAAACATAAACGAATCTTTTTAGACCAAACTGAGAATCCAGATGGGTATCTAATAGTTTTTTAAGTGTTCTGATACATTCTTTTTTTGTTTGGTTTTTTTTTGAGACGGACACTCACTCTGTGGACAGGTTAGAGTGCAGTGGCGCCATCTCCGCTCATTGCAACCTCTGCCTCCCAGGTTCAAGCAATTTTCCTGCCTGAGCCTCCCGAGTAGCTGGGACTACAGGACTTTACCACCACGCCCAGCTAATTTTTGTATTTTCAGTAGAGACGGGGTTTCACCATGTTCGCCAGGATAGTCTCCATCTCTTGACCTCAAGGGATCCGCCCTCCTCGGCCTCCCAAAGTGCTGGGATTACAGGCGTGAGCCACCATGTCTGGCCTTTTTTTTTTTTTTTTTTTTTTTTTGAGACGGAGTCTTGCTCTGTCGCCAGGCTGGAGTGCAATGGTGCAATTTGGGCTCACTGCAACCTCCGCCTCCCGGGTTCAAGCAATTCTCCTGCCTCACCTTCCTGAGTAGCTGGGATTACAAGCGTGCACCACCACGCCTGGCTAATTTTTGTATTTTTAGTAGAGATGGGGTTTCACCATGTTGGCCAAGATGGTCTCGATCTCCTGGCCTCGTGATCCGCCTGCCTCAGCCTCCCAAAATGCTGGGATTACAGGCCTGAGCCACTGCACGCAGCCCATTTTTCTTGTATCTATCAGAATCCTAAAAACTAAAGGTACCAAGTTACATGGTATTTGTTGCTTCGATGCTGGCCACTTCCTAAGAGGCAAATGTGCTCATAAACTATACATCTCAGTAGGGGAAATAAACTTCTGACTTCCAGTCATATAGTAACCATTCAAATACAAAGAGAACATACAACTTTTGACAAGAGGAAAAAAAAGGTCAATAGTTTTTTTAAAAAACTTAAAAGTAAACCTTGTAACCATTCTTGAATCAAAATTGAAGAATCAGAAGCTGGCATTTTATTTTTTAAAGTTTAAGAACAGCCTGGTTGCAGTGGCTCACGCCTGTAATCCCAGCACTTGGTGAGGTCAAAGCGCATGCATCACCTGAGGTCAGGAGTTCAAGACCAGCCTCGCCAACATGGTGAAACCCTATCTCTACTAAAAATACAAAAAAATAAATAAATAAATAAGCAGGGCATGGTGGTGTGTGCCTATAATCCCTGCTACTCAGGAGACTGAGGCAAGAGAATCACTTGTAATCCACTGCACTCCAGCCTGGGTGACAGAGCAAGACTCTGTCTCGGGGTGGGAAGAAAAAGAAAAAGAAAAAAGAAGAACATATTTAACTGTTTCACTTAGTTTGTCATGTTAAAGAAAACTCTGTCATTTTGTTAAATATTGGCATTTAATGTTAATATTTAAATACTAGCATTTTTAGTATTAAAAAAAATTTCCACATCAGCCAGGCATGGTAGTGCGTACCTATGGTCCCAACTACTTGGGAGGCTGATACAGGAGGATGGCTTGAGAGACAGAGCAAGACCCTGTCTCAAAAAAAAAAAAATTTTTTTTCACCTCCAACTTTATTTTCAGCAACACACTTTTTTTTTTTTTTTTTAAAGAAACAGGGTTGGCGAGGCGCGGTGGCTCACACCTATAATCCCAACACTTTGGGAGGCCGACGCAGACAGATCACCTGAGGTTGGGAGTTTAGAACCAGTCTACCCAACGTGGAGAAACCCCATCTCCACTAAAAATACAAAATTAGCCGGGCATGGTGGTGCATGCCTGTAATCCCAGCTACACGTGAGGCTTAGGCAGGAAAATCGCTGGAACCAGGGACGTGGACGTTGCAGCGAGCCAAGATCACGCCATTGCACTCCAGCCTGGGAAACAAGAGCGAACCTCCATCTCAAAAAAACAAAAAAACAAATACTTCTCTCTACTATTTTGTCTTTTATGTTTTACAGAAACATAAAAAGAGAAAACACAAAAAGTGTAAGTCTTCTACTTCCTTGTCCCCAATCCCAACAGTTTGGTATCTACTGCTGTGCTCTTCTTAATACCTTTCTACAAACTAATAATTTTTATTTTTCTACAACCAATCACATTACGAGAATTTCTCCCTCATTATAAATGCCATCTCTTCATGTCAGTTCACAAAAGTTTTATTCCAAGCTGGGGACGGTGGCTCACGTCTGTAATCCCAACACTTCAGGAGGCCAAAGCAGGTGGATCACTTGAGGTCAGGAGTTCTACACCAGCCTGGCCAACATGGTGAAACCCCATCTATACTAAAAATACAAAAATTAGCCAAGTGTGGTGGCACATGCCTGTAATCCCAGCTACTCAGGAGGCTGAAGCAAGAGAATCACTTGAACCCGGGGTGCGGAGTTTGCAGTGAGCTGAGATTGTGTCACTACACTCCAGCCTGGGCGACAGACACTCTGTCTAAAAAATAAAAATAAAGTCTTATTCCACTCTTTATAATGCAGTAAATTGGCCGGGCGCGGTGGCTCACGCCTATAATCCCAGCACTCCGGGAGGCCGAGGTAGGCGGATCACAAGGTCAAGAGATTGAGACTATCCTGGCCAACATGGCGAAACTCCGTCTCTACTAAAAATACAAAAATTAGGAGAGAGGGTGGCTGCAGTAGTGAGAGGCTGGTGCTGCAGCTCTTTCCCTGCAGTCCAGTCGAGTAAGTGTGCAAGCCTGGCGCTTCCTTCTCTTCAGGCAGAGAGCTTGGGATGTGGTAATGCCAGCCAGACTTTTCAGAGCTATGGTCAGATCTACCGTACGTACATTGTCAAAACCACATCAGGGCCAAAGAACTGGTCATCTAACGTTGAAACCACTTAAGGAATTTGAAAATACAACATGCAGCACACTGACAATATGTCAAAACTTGGATTTGTTCCTTCCTGATAATACAGCTGGTGGTTTGAATAAGTCTCAGATTCTGTAAATGAACCAAAAAAAAAAAAAAAAAAATCAAATACAAGCACGGTCTCTCCATTAAATGCTGCTCATTGCCAAGACGAAAAGGCGCACCTTCCATGAAATCCTTTGGTACTCAGAAGAGAGTGACTCACAAACCAAATCTATTGGGTTCTAAATGGTTTATAAAAATATTAAAGAGGCATTTCTCATCTGTATCAATGGAAACATTTGTTCCAAAACAAGGCTTTCCACAATCAAGAGACCACTAAAAGCATCCAGGACCAAGCAGCCATCCAGGACCAACCTTCCAGTTCTGCCTGTGAATGAGGTAAAGCTGGGGTGGCTGTGGCTCATGTGCTTAGTGATCACTGCTCACGCTAAACCAGTGTGCGCTGCACCCCAGCCTTACAGCCAGCTTAAGAAACTGGCAGTCAACTAAGACTTCTCCATCAAGATCTTTGAAGCCTAATAAATATCCAATGACATTCAAAAGCTTAATTTTTAAGAATTAATGATACATAGAAAAACAAAATATAGGCAATAAAAGATGAAAAAAATACAAAAATTAGCCAGGCGTAGTGGCGCATGCCTGTAGTCCCAGCTACTTGGGAGGCTAAGGCAGGAGAATCGCTTGAACCCAGGAGGCAGAGGCTGCAGTGAGCTGAGATCACGCCACTGCACTCCAGCCTGGCAACAGAGGAAGACTGTCTCAAAAATAATAACATAATAACAATGCAGTAAATTATTATAATACGGACATATTTATTCAACCAACATTAACAGCTGGCTTGGCTCCACTTTCAGTTGTCACAAATAATGCTGCACGTTCCTGGAGATAACAGACATATAACTGTATGCATCTGTACAGGTAATTCTCTAATACAGGTCAGAACTATATGTATCTGATTAGCTGGGTGTGGTGGCAGGTGCCTGTAGTCCCAGCTACTTGGGAGGCTGAGGCAGGAGAATCGCTTGAATCTGGGAGGCGGAGGCTGCAGTGAGCCGAGATGGCACCATTGCACTCCAACCTGCGAAACAGAGCAAGACTCCATCTCAAAAAAAAAAAAAACTATTATGTATTCAAATTTTACCTCCAAAAGCATTCCTGGAAACTAGCATACAAATGTATAATCCCACACCAGAATATGTGTATGCCCTTTCCTCATATCCTCATCAATGTTAGAATAGATCAGTGTCAAAATTATCATTTTATAAGTAAAATACACTCTTACTGCAATTTACATTTCCTTCATGACTAATGAAGTTCAGTATCTGTTTACCTATTTACTAGACATTTCTTTAAAAATAGAAAAGCATGACCTACATGCTCACAGCTCTACTTCCTCAGGATATCATATTCAATAAAACTAAACTTCAACTTCAGAAAACACAATATACTTAAAATATTTAGAAAACTTTATAGGTTGGCTGGGCGCGGTGGCTCAAGCCTGTAATCCCAGCACTTTGGGAGGCCGAGACGGGCGGATCACAAGGTCAGGAGATCGAGACCATCCTGGCTAACACGGTGAAACCCCATCTCTACTAAAAAATACAAAAAAAACTAGCCGGGCGAGGTGGTGGGTGCCTGTAGTCCCAGCTACTCGGGAGGCTGAGGCAGGAGAATGGCGTAAACCCGGTAGGCGGAGCTTGCAGTGAGCCGAGATCCGGCCACTGCACTCCAGCCTGGGCGACAGAGCGAGACTCCGTCTCAAAAAAAAAAAAAAAAAAGAAAACTTTATAGGTAAAAGAATCCCTAGGATGAATTTTTTTCTTAGCTGGAGTCTTGCTCTGTCGCCCAGGCTGGAGTGCAGAGGCACCATCTGGGCTCACTGAAACCTCCGCCTGTCGGGTTCAAGCGATTCTCCTGCCTCAGCCTAGCTGGGATTACGTGTGCACACCACCAGGTGCATGCTACCAAGCTCAGTTAATTTTTGTATTTTTAGTAGAGATGGGGTTTCACCATGTTTGGCCAGGCTGGTCTCAAACTCCTGGCCTCAAGTGATCGGCCTCGGCCTTCCAAAGTGCTTGGATTACAGGCATAAGCCACCGCGCCCAGCCCCTAGGAGGATTTAATATACTTGGCAAATGAGGTACTAGAAACTTTTTAAACAGTAGGTAGGTTCTAAGTACATATTAACAAAGGAAAAACACAAGATTGCAAGACTGTAAATGTGTTGAGTTTTAAAATAAACTTTCTATAAAACTCTTTGACCAAAACCAAACTGGGGGTTGTACCTCTTTTTAAAACAGAAAGGACTACTGTCCTACTTACAGAAGCTCTTCTATGAACATTATAATAGCCTATCTCAGCGCTTTCTTAGGGTAGTTGGTTTTCATACCTGTTGAATAAACTGATTAATGAATAAATCAGTAAACAAAACTCTGAGAACTTCAATAAACAAATTTATTATACTATCTCATGCCGCATACCATATCCTAGCAATGGCCCAGTGCCTAGCCTCACAATGGTTACAAGACTGGGCCATGAATTCATCTTTAGAACCGCTTTCCCTCCACTATTAGATATAAATAATGCTTAATAAGTAAGCAGAACTCTCGGCCAGGGACAGTGGCTCACGCCTGGAATCCCAGCACTTTGGGAGGCCGAGGTGGGCAGATCACTGGAGGTCAGGAGTTCGAGACCAGCCTGGCCAACATGGTAAAACCCCATCTCCACCGAAAATACAAAAATTGGGCTGGGTGAGGTGGCTCACGCCTGTAATCCCAGCACTTTGGGAGGCTGAGACAGGCAGATCACAAGGTCAGGAGATGGAGACCATCCTGGCCAACATGGCAAAACCCCGTCTCTAATACAAAAAATTATCTGGGCGTGGCAGCATGCACCTGTAGTCCCATCTACTCAGGAGCCTGAGGCAGGGGAATCGCTTGAACCCGGGCAGCAGGGGTTGCAATGAGCCAAGACTGCACCACTGCACTCCACCTTGGTGACAGAGCAAGTCTCAGCTGAAAAAAAACAGAAAAAATTAGCCGGGTGCAGTGGCTCACCCCTATAATCCCAGCACTTTGGGAGGCCAAGGCAGACAGATCACTTGAGGTCAGGAGTCCAAGACCAGCCTGGCCAACATGGTGAAACCCCGTCTCTACTAAAATACAAAAACTAGTTGGGTGTGGTGGCGGGTACCTGTAATCCCAGCTACTCAAGAGGCAAAGGCAGGAGATCACTTGAATCGGGAGGCAGAGATTGAAGTGAGCCAAGATCGTGCCGCTGCACTCCAGCCTAGGTGACGCAGCAAGACTCCGTCTCAAACAAACAAACAAACCAACAAAAAAATTAGCCAGGTGTGGTGGTGCCCACCTGTAATCCCAACTACTCTGGAGGGTGAGGCAGGAGAATTGCTTGAACCTGGGAGGCAGATGTTGCAGTGAGCCAAGGTCACACCACTGCACTCCAGCCTGAGCGACAGAGTAAGATTCCGTCTAAAAAAATCAAAAAAAAAAAAAAAGTAAAACTCTATATTCCTGGTATTTTAAGTTATATTTTATGGTTTTTAAATGTGTAATTCATTCTGCAGAGTTAACCAAATATATTTAATTTTTGTTTATGCCAATATACTCATTCTATTCACTTCAAATTTTTCCATAACATATTTCCCGTTATTTGGAGCTGCCAAAACTTGCTTGTTGATAGGCTGGACTTCAAAGGTGAAGGCAAAAATACCAGTTAATGGCTAATTTTTATGGATATTCCTTTAATATTTAAATATTTAAATATTTAATAAATATTTAATATTTAATTTTTATGGATATTCCTTTAATATTTAATATTCCTTTAATTTATGGATATGCCTCTCTGGGGTGCAGTGGCTCACGCCTGTAATCCCAGCACTTTGGGAGGCCGAGGCGAGCAGATCACAAGGTCAGGAGTTCGAGGCCAGCCTGGCCAACACAGTGAAACCCTGTCTCTATTAAAAATACAAAAATCAGCCAGGCGTGGTGGCAGGCGCCTGTAGTCCCACCTACTCAGAAGGCTGAGGCAGGAGAATGGCATACACCCAGGAGGCGGAGCTTGCGGTGAGCCGAGATCCGGCCACTGCACTCCAGCCTGAGTGACAGAGCAAGACTCCATCTCAAAAAAAAAAAAAAAACCTCTTCAAATGATTTTCAACTCATTCAGAGTTAAAACTGAAATGTTTACAGTGTGCCCTACACTCTACACGTAACACTCAGTATTTATTTCTGATTTTCTTCATTTATTCTGCTCCAGTCATACTGTTGGCCTTGCTGTTCCTCCCTCAAACACACCATTCCTGCTTCAGCCTCTTTGTATTTGTCTTTTCCTTTGCTTAGAAGTCTCTTTCTCCCAGATATGAATAGGGCTTCCTGCCTCTGCCTCTTTTAAATCTTTATTCTAATCCTCACCTTCCTGCTGAGACCTAATCACTGTATTTAAAATAAACTACTCTGTAGCTCTCTTCCCTAATTTATTTTTCTGCAAAGTACATACCAACTTTCAATGTATTATGATTTATTTTGTTTAACATGCATAGGTAACAACAGATAAGCTTTGCTTATGATTATAAAAGTTAGTTCTCAATCAGTTTCACATGGCAAAACATATAACTCTCAGTACAGACAGGCGCCCGCCACCTCGCCCGGCTATTTTTTTGTATTTTTTAGTAGAGACAGGGTTTCACCGTGTTAGCCAGGATGGTCTCGATCTCCTGACCTCGTGATCGATCCACCCGTCTCGGCCTCCCAAAGTGCTGGGATTACCGGCTTGAGTCACCGCGACCGGCCTTGAAGAGTTTTTGACTTGTCATATTTTAACATTATCACTGGCCACTGTGTTAAGCCTGGAAGGGAACAGGATAGAAGAAAGAGACTGGCACAATAATCCACATAAGAGACAGTAGCCTGGAGAGATGGTGGCCTGGAACAGGTGGTAGTGGTAAAAGCGTTATCAAGTTGTTGGATCCTGGATATATTTTGAAGGCAGCCAATAGGATTTGCTGAGGGATTATATAATAGGTGGGATTTAAGAGAGAGAAATGCAGTTATCTTATGGCACTGAAATCATTTCTATAGTATTTTTTAAAATATTGAAAGTATCTCACTTTTAGAAGGTTCAAAGCACCTTTTCCTGCTAAGTATGAAACTTTATAGCTCATGATAATAACAATAGGAACCTGGGCCAGGTGCAGTGGCTCATGCCTGTAATCCCGGCACTCTGGGAAGCCAAGGCAGGTGGATCACTTGAGCTCAGGAGTTCAAGACCAGCCTGGGCAACATGGTGAAACCGCATCTCTACCAAAAATACAAAAAATTAGCCAGGTGTGGTAGCACGCACTATGGTCCCAGATACTCAGGAGGCTGAGATGGGAGAATCGCTTGAGCCCGGGAGGTGGAGGTTGCAATGAGCCAAGATCACACCACTGCACTCCAGCCTGGGTGACAGAGCAAGGCCTCCCAAAAATTAAATAAAATAACAGAAACCTATGATGGAAGTGTTTCCTATCTCTAGTGTGGTGGTGGTCACACAGGTATATGCATCTGTTGAAACTCACTGAAATTAAAACAGATGCATTTTATTGTGTGCAAATTTTATCTCAAGAAATTTGGTCCAAAAACAAACCCTGAAGACTTATCTCTAGTACTCAACATATGCATGCACTCAGTTTTTCTTTTTTTCACTTTTTTCTCTTTAAATCTTTCAGACTATTCTTTTTTCTGCACTCTTAAGAATACTGCAAGTATCCAAAATATAGTAAAATACTGCTAATAAGCATTCCCCTATTGTAGACTTACCCAGATAGAAACAAAATTATTTCTCCCAGGATAGATAATTTTAGACTAGCTCCATCAGTACACTATGTGCTAAATTTCTAAAATGCTAAGACTGAACTGAGATTCCTCTCAGTGAATATTCACATACAACTCACTCATTCATTCAATATCTACTTCCAATTATGTGTCAGGTCTGCAGGAATTATTCCTAGGGAAAAAAAAAAGTGTTTTATGCCCAAAGAAGAATGGGAAATGCTTAACAGAAAAACTACTTTTACAGCAAAGCTTTTCAGAAGTATGAAAATACTCAATTGTTTTGAAATCTCCAAAAAAGTTGATCTTTTTCTGACATTGCCACTTTGTTGTTTTACAATTTCAATGATTAAAGGGCAACACTCCTGTGCATGCTTATAGTTACAGCTACGCAGGAGGATCGCCTGAGCCCTGGAGTTCTGGGATGCAGCACACTACCGATGAGGTGTTCATGCTAAGTTCATTCAGCAATAACATGGTGACCTCCTGGGATGAGAGAGAACCACCAGGTTGCCAACAGAGAAGGGCAAAACTCCCAAACTGATCAGTAGTGGGATTACGCCTGTGAATAGCCACTGCACTCCAGCCTAAGCAATACATGAAGAATCCATCTTTTTAAAAACAAAAGCAAGGCTGGGCGCAGTGGCTCATACCTGTAATCCTAGCACTTTGGGAGGATGAGGCAGGTGGATCCTTTGAGCCTGAGTTCCAGACCAGCCTGGGCAACATGGTGAAACCCCATCTCTGCCAAAAATACAAAACACTAGCCAGGCATGGTGGCATGCACCTGTGGTCCCAGCTACTCGGGAGGCTGGGGTGGAAGGATTGCTTAAGCCTGAAATGCAGAAGTTGCAGTGAGCTGAGATCGTAGCACCGCACTCCAACCTGGGTGAGAGAGACCCCATCTCAAAAACCAAACCAAACAAAAAAGTAGCACTATCTACTACTATCTACAGAGAAAAATGAGTGCTTGCCTGAAACTGGGGTGGAACAGGGTGACTTGAAAACAGAAGAAGGAATCCTTTTGGGGTAATGGATGCATAACTTTGTATATTTACCAAAAATCACTGAATTGTGCATTTACAGGTGAATTTTCTGTCAATATAGTTCACATAGTTGCCTTTTTTTTTTTTTTTTTTTGGAGACAAAGTCTCGCTCTGCTACCCAGGCTGGAGTGCAGTGGCCGGATCTCAGCTCACTGCAAGCTCCGCCTCCCGGATTTACGCCATTCTCCGACCTCGGCCTCCTGAGTAGCTGGGACTACAGGCGCCCGCCACGTCGCCCAGCTAGTTTTTGTATTTTTTTTAGTAGAGACGGGGTTTCACCGTGGTGGCCAGGATGGTCTCGATTTCCTGACCTCGTGATCTGCCCGTCTCGGCCTCCCAAAGTGCTGGGATTACAGGCTTGAGCCACCGCGCCCGGCCCATAGTTGCCATTTTAAAAACAGTATATCGGCCGAGTGCGATGAGCTCACACTTGTAATCCCAACAATTTGGGAGGCCAAGGCACACAGATCACATGAGGTCAGAAGTTCCAAGACCAGCCTGGACAACATGGTCAAACCCCGTCGCTACTAAATATACAAAAATTAGCCAGGCATGGTGGCGGGTGCCTATAATTCCAGCTTCTATGGAGGATGAGGCAAAAGAATTGCTTGAACCCGGGAGGCAGAGGTTACAGTGAGGTAAGATCGCGCCACTACACTCCAGCCTGGGCGACAGAGCGAGGCTCTCCACCTCCAAAAAAAAAAAAAGGGTGGCCGGGCGCGGTGGCTCACGCCTGTAATCCCAGCACTTTGGGAGGCCGAGACGGGCAGATCACGAGGTCAAGAGATCGAGACCATCCTGGCTAACACGGTGAAACCCCGTCTCTACTAAAAATACAAAAATTAGCCGGGCACAGTGGCGGGCGCCTGTAGTCCCAGCTACACGGGAGGCTGAGGCAGGAGAATGGCGTGAACCTGGGAGGCGGAGCTTGCAGTGAGTGGAGATGGCGCCACTGCGCTCCAGCCTGGGCAACAGAGCCAGAGACTTCGTCTCAAGAAAAAAACAAAAAAAAAAAAAGTATACCAACTCAGAAAAATCGGCAAAATCTAAGAACTGTAGATTAGGTATTTTATCAATGTTTCTTGATTTTGATTGTTGTACTGTTGTTACATAAGACTAGTCCTAATTTTTAGGAAATACACAAGTATTTATGGGTTGGGGGCATCACATCTGCAACTTACTAGCAAAACATTTCAGAAGAAACCTATGAAGAGAAGAGAAGGATAAAGCAAATTGGCAAAATGTTAACATTTGAGGAATCTGGTGAAAGATATCTGAGATTTCTTTTGTACTATTCTCGCAACTTTTTTTGTAAATTTGAAATTATGTCTCTATAAAAAGTTAAAAGCCAATACCAATAATTCTGGGTAGTGGAATTTTGTTCTTCCTTTAGTTTCAACAACTTTCAAATTTCAAAAAAAGGTAGAAAAGCTATTTAAGAAGAATCAAAAATCCCTTTTGTGAATCGCAGTGGTAGTGTTTGAAAAGTCAATCAAGAAATCTCTAAAGCAAGATGTTAAGATTCATAAATGATTCCTTTGCTTCCAAAGCTATAAAATAATTTAATTTTTCACTAAATCATGTGTAAATAAGAAAACTAAACTGCTAATTTGTCTGTGGACAAAAACATAACTTGAAAATTCCAAATTCCTGTTAGGTCTGAAGTAGTTACCCATGTTAACATGGACTAGTTTTACTTTAAAAATACGTTCAGAAGGCCAGGCACGGTGGTTCGCGCCTGTAATCCCAGCACTTTGGAAGACCAAGGCGGGCGGATCACAAGGTCAGGAAATCGAGACCATCCTGGCCAACAAAGTGAAACCTCAGTCTCTATTAAAAATACAAAAATTAGCCAGGCGTGGGGGCGCGCGCCTGTAGTCCCAGTTACTCAGGAGGCTGAGGCAGGAGAATCGCTTGAACCCGCGAGGCGGAGGTTGCAGTGAGCCGAGATCGCGCCACTGCACTCCAGCCTGGGCAACATAGCGAGACTCCGTCTCAAAAAACAAACAAACAAACAAACAAAAATTCAAGAATCAGGGTTGGACTCTTACATTTTATTGAAAATTCTTAAATAAAAAATTATGTCAATACAGATTTAAATGCTTACTATGTGTTACCTGGATATCGCACGAAGGATTTTACATACGTTTTTCTCAATCTCCAACCCCAATAACGTATAGATACTACTATCAATTCATTTTACAGAGGAACAAAAACCAAAGCTTAAAAAGAAAAAACGAAAAGAAAAACCAAGGCTTTAAGTTAAATGAATTAGAATAGTGTAAGATTCACGTGAATCATGAATAACTTACGATCAATTTAATCCCTTTAAAGTCCTCTGAACGTTTTTGGAAACGGCCTTTAAAAAAATTAAAAGCTCCAAAGACAATACAAAAATTGTTTATACATTACTGCCCACGGCCTAATACACAATACTTCACACTAATACAGCAGTAGGGTGCAACAGAGGTCCAATCTCTTCCCTTCTCTTGGCTCCACTCTGCCCAGTATCAAAATGGCATTTCCATGGCAATACAAATCCATATTACATAACTTCCGAAAAATCTTCATAGTCCTACGTCTATTCCGGAAAACTGTATTTAAAAGCATGATTGACGACCAAAGAAAAATGAGAAAGTAACATTTTAACGTGGAGCTTAGTAATCGCCTAGAATGAATGGTGATACACAGTTTACTGCACCCTCCAATGCTCAAAGGAGGCAGGATGGCAAAATTCATGACCATCTTAAGCAAGCCAGGAGAGTGCTAAAAAGGTAGGTATTAGCTCAATTCCAAGGGGGTGGGGCCCAGTTCGCTTGGTGGCGGGCTCTAGATGGCCAAAGAGGAAGGGAAAGATATCCGTTGGTGGCCAGCACCTCGCTAAAAAGGGTGGGTGGAGGCTAACAAATCAAGGCAACTGCTGGGGCCAGTGCCCCAGGCCCGAAAACCTACTGCGGGGCTCCGGTAAGCAAGGGGGCTCAGGGAAGAGCTCCCCAGGGGCAGACCGATCGTTTTGGGTCTAACGTGGAGCCCAGGAGGGGCAGAGACGATTCACTGCGCGGCGGAACGTGGAAGGGAAAGGGAAAGCGGACGACAATGCAAGACGGAAAGCTCAAGTCATAGGTCTGGCCTCCACGGGCTCCGGCTGGGCCCACAGGTCTTCCAGGCCTTAGAGAAGAGGAGAAACCAAGCCTCGTGCCGACCCCTCCCCCACCCCCGCCTCCGCGCCCCCCCCTTATCTCTACCCCACCCTGGCGCTTTCGCAGCCACCCCAGCTTTTCCTCCTCCACCAGCTGAGGCACCCGGTCTCCCGTTTCCACACGCGTTCAGGGACACAAACTCACCCGCCGCTGAAGAAACGGTACTGCCTTCGCAGCCTTCTAGGATCCAGGTTACGAGTGCGCTCCACTTGTTCGAGATTTCTGCCCGCTGCTCGCCAGGGAGACAGAAGTCCGAAGCGCCTACTCTCACAGGCCGCAAATACAGCCGCGCTGCGCGGGGAGCTGCTGGAGGTCTTCCTCTTGCCCGGCGTGCACTGCGCCGGGGGCGTGGAGTGCGGAACCATAGAGAAGAACGTATATAGATCGTCTCCCCTGTTGACTCTGACTCACCAAGCCGAGACGAATAACCATAGAGAAGCAGCGTCTAGCAGCTACTAGAAAGGCCCGAACTGTAAATTATGACCTACACTGCCATGTTTGATTGGAGCCGACTGAATCTTACGACTACGGGACGCCATCTTGAGGTCATGATTCCGGGGGGGCACGGCGCGAGGAGTGTTAGAGGATTTCTCACCTTTCGTAGTTTTTCGGGGTGTAGAACCTTGCTTTGTGATTCCTGGAGGTTCGAGGAACTGATAACTGGGCCCTATACGCAATCTCAGTGTTAAACCCCAAATGTTGTTATAACAACTACTCGAGATCAAGAAATAATTGGCAACGGCGTGGAGGCTTTTTGAAAAGCAAAAGCTTATGGGTAGTTGTAGGGCCAGAGGTGGCTAGAAGATGTTTGGAAAAACGTGTAAAGTCCTGTAATACTAGTTAACACAGCTTTCGTTCTGTAATCTAAACGTGCTGAAAGAACTTAGTTTAAGTTAATGAAAATAAATAAAATTAATCATAAATGATTACGTTATTCCAATTGTGGACCTTATAGGCAATATCTAGTTATACGCCTTTCTCAACTGCTTGCTTCTAGGAAGGCATAAAACGTATTCAGTATAAAGTTATTGCCTCCCTGAGTTCCTGGTGCTGTGCTAAGTGCTGGAAGTATGAAGGCAAATGGAAGTGACATTTGTTCCTGTCCTGCAGGAACTGTGAACCAGGTGAAATAGATGACAAACTCTGACCACCCTAATATAAAATTGAAACATACCTACACACTTCCTGCCTGCCTCTCCTACTTAATTTTACTCTAAAGTACTCATAACCATCTATCATAACATACATTTTTCTAACTGATTTTATGGTCCGTCACTACCCCCACTAGAATGTGAATGTAAGCAATGCATGGATTGCCGGTTTTGTGCAATAACAGGTCCCGGTACATAGCAAGCGCTCAATAAATATTTGTTGAGTGAAGGAAATGATTACCGGCCAGGCGCAGTGGCTCACGCCTGTAATCCCAGCACTTTGGGAGGCTGAGGCGGGTGGATCACCTGAGGTTAGGAGTTCGAGGCCAGCCTGGCCAACATGGCGAAACCCTGTCTCTACTGAAAATACAAATATAAGCAGGTGGAGGCAGGCCCCTGTAATCCCAGCTACTTGGGAGGCTGAGGCAGGAGAATCGCTTGAACCCGGGAGGCGGAAGTTGCAGTTAGCTGAGATAGCATCCTGCACTCCAGCCTGGGCAACACAGCAAGACTCTGCCTCAAAAAAAAAAGAAAAGAAAAAAATGATTAACGGCCTGGCGCAGTGGCTCACGCCTGTAATCCCAGCACTTTGGGAGGCCGAGGCAGGCAGATCATGAGGTCAGGAGTTCGAGACCAGACTGACCAATGTGGTGAAACCGGTCTCTACTAAAAATAGAAAAATTAGCTCGGCCTGGTGGCACTCTCCTGTAATCCCAGATAACTCAGGAGGCTGAGGCAGGAGAATCCTTGAACCTGGGAGGCGGAGGTTGCAGTGAGCTGAGATCATGCACTCCAGCCTGGGCAAGAGAGCAAGACTCCATCTCAAAAAAAAAAGAAATTATTAACATATGATGAGTACCAATAGAACACAAAATTTAGTGGGAATACAAATGAGAAAGTAGCACTCATCACTACCATCTGCAAAATTTACATCCGTCTATATTTCTGCTTGCTAGGTTTCCTTTCCATTAACTAAGGTTAATAATACCTTTGGCCGGGTGTGGTGACGAATAACTATAGTCCCAGTTACTTGGGAGATGAAATTAACTTATGTGTGTTTGTACTTTGTTCAGTAAAGTGCTATTCAAATTTATAGTTTTTATAGTGCTACTCTATAATGCTATTTATAGTTTGTAAATAAAAGGAGTTTGTGTCATTTCTTTTTCTTTTTCTTTATTTTTTTTCTTTTTTCTTTTTTTTTTTTTTTTTTGAGAAGGTGTCTCTGTTTCCCATGCTGGAGTGCAGTGACGTGATCTTGGCTCACTGCAATCTCTGCCTCCCGGGTTCAAGTGATTCTTGTGCCTCAGCCTCCCCAGTAGCTGGGATTACAGGTGTGTGTCACTGCACCTGGCTAACTTTTGTATTTTTAGTAGAGACGGGGTTTCACTATGTTGGCCAGGTTGATCTCTAACTCCTGACCTCAGGTGATCTGCCTACCTGGACCTCCCAAAGTGCTGGGATCAAAGGTATGAGCCACCATGCCCACCCAAGAGTTTGTGCCTATTTACAACAAAAGGCATAGACAGAAATCTTCTCAGATTACTCTGTGTCCCTTTTTATTATTAGAAACATTGTACATGAATTTGTGTTTACTGTGTAATAAAGGGAGCTCTCAGGCAACAATTTGCTAACTTTCCTACCTTAGAGCTCTCAGGCAACAATTTGCTAATCTTTCTACCTTAGACGATTTGTTGCTTATGTTCATGCAGCATCCATCCATTCCCCTTGCCTTTAGTCATGACCCTCCACGTTTTTTTTTTTTTTTTTTTGAGACGGAGTCTTGCTCTGTAGCCCGGGCTGGAGTGCGGTGGCCGGATCTCAGCTCACTGCAAGCTCCGCCTGCTGGGTTCACGCCATTCTCCTGCCTCAGCCTCCTGAGTAGCTGGGACTACAGGCGCCCGCCACCTCGCCCGGCTAGTTTTTTGTATTTTTTAGTGGAGACGGGGTTTCACCGTGTTAGCCAGGATGGTCTCGATCTCCTGACCTCGTGATTCGCCCGTCTCGGCCTCCCAAAGTGCTGGGATTACAGGCTTGATTACAGGCTTGAGCCACCGCGCCCGGCCCCTCCACGTTTTTTAAAAGAAACCATCTTGGCCAGGGGTGGTGGCTCACACCTGTAATCCCAGCACTTTGGGAGGCCGAGGCAGACGGATCACGAGGTCAAGAGATCAAGACCAGCTTGACCTGACCAACATGGTGAAATGCTGTCTCTACTAAAAATACAAAAATTAGCTGGGCATAGTGATGTGCGCCTGTAGTCCCAGCTACTTGGGAGGCTGAGGCAGGAGAATCGCTTCAACCTGGGAGGCAGAGGGTGTAGTGAGTGGAGATTGTGCCACTGCACTCCAGCCTGGGCAACAGAGCAAGACTCCGTCTAAAAAAAAAGAGGCCAGGCGCAGTGGCTCACACCTGTAATCCCAACACTTCAAGAGACTGAAGCAGGTGGATCACCTGAGGTCAGAAGTTCAAGACCAGCCTGGCCAACATGGCGAAACCCTGCCTCTACTAAAAATAACAAAAATTAGCTGGGCGTGGTGGCAGGCGCCTGTAATCCCAGCAGCTCAGGAGGCTGAGGCAGGAAAATCGCTTGAACCCAGCAGGGAGAGGTTGCAGTGAGTGGAGATTGCGCCATTGCACTCCACCTGGACAACAAGCAAAACTCGGTCTAAAAAAAAAGAAAAGAAAAGAAACCATCCTGCCACTACTCCAGATCCATGTAGTTTGGATAGGAAGTCCCAACTCTAACCAGACCCTCTTAGGACACTGGAGTAAACTTATAACCTAATCAAAACCTGATAATTGGCCGGGCGCGGTGGCTCAAGCCTGTAATCCCAGCACTTTGGGAGGCCGAGACGGGCGGATCACGAGGTCAGGAGATCGAGACCATCCTGGCTAACACGGTGAAACCCCGTCTCTACTAAAAAAAAAAAAAAAACACAAAAAACTAGCCGGGCGAGGTGGCGGGCGCCTGTAGTCCCCGCTACTCGGGAGGCTGAGGCAGGAGAATGGCGTAAACCCGGGAGGCGGAGCTTGCAGTGAGCTGAGATCCGGCCACTGCACTCCAGCCCGGGCGACAGAGCAAGACTCCGTCTCAAAAAAAAAAAAAAAAAAAAAACAACCTGATAATTTAGTCCCCCCTCTGTTTTTTTTTTTTTTTTTTTTGTACTAGCCGCTATTTAAAGCATTTTGCAAATATCAACTCCTTTAATCCTCATAACAACCCCCTGAAGTAAGAACTGTTGTGATACAAATGAAGAAACCAAGGCTTGCAAAAGTTAACCTATCAAAGGCTACAAAAATAGTAAGCGAGCCAGTCTGGTTCCTGAGTTCATGCTCTTGAACATTACACTGCTTCATCCTTTCAGGAATAATCCTAAAAAGAAGGGGAGGGGTCTCTGTATTTTTCATTTAAGTTGAATTTTTTTTTTTTCAATTTAAGCTTAGGAGGATTTAAGCTTGGAATAGAAGGGATGAAAATGAAGTCACAGAAGAAAGCAGAAGTAAGACAGAGTGAGAGATTTTTGACAATATCAGTTGAGAAAATGGTTCATTCGTTCATTTTGTTTGTTTTTTGGTTTGTTGTTGCTGTTATTATTTGAGATAGGGTCTCCCTTTGTTGTCCTGCCTGGAGTGCAGTGGCATAATCACGGCTCCCTGCAACCTCGACTTCCCAGGCTCCAGCAATTCTCCCACCTCAGCCTCCCAAAAGCCAGGATTACAGGCATGAGCCACTGTGCACGACTGCTTCAGCTACTCCTAAAGCCAGCTGTTCTAGGCTTCTCAGTATGTAACCCAACACATTACTTTTCCTAAATCAGTCTGAGTTGAGTTTTCTATTCCTTACACAGAAAGAACTCTAAATGATACACTTATATACCACTTGTAGAGAACAAGCCAAGCCATTCATTTGCAATGCCAATTATCCCCCTTCTATTTTTTTCTTACAAATCCTTGCTGAGGAAACTGTAGATAATTAATTTGGGCATTACATTCTGTGTGCATTTGGACCCTATTCTTTTTTTTTTTTTTTTGTGAGACAGTTTTGTTCTCATTGCCTAGGCTGGAATGCAATGGCATGATCTCAGCTCACGGCAACCTCCGCCTCCTGGGTTCAAGCAGTTCTCCTGCCTCAGCCTCCCAAGTAGCGGGGATTACAAGCACACGCCACCATGCCCAGCTAATTTTGTATTTTTAGTAGAGGTGGGGTTTCTCCATGTTAGCCAGGCTGGTCTCCAACTCCCAGCCTCAGGTGATCCACCCGCCTCAGCCTCCCAAAATGCTGAGATTACAAGCATGAGTCACCACACCCGGCCTGGACCCTATTCTCAT